AGTTTTAATCAAGTACCATACTTTAGCCAGCCTGCAATCCTCACAGGTTCACTATTTCCCTATGACTTATGAATGTCAGCTCCGGTTTGAAACTTCTCATGCCAGTCGCCAATCAATAAATATACGAGAGAAGCCGGTGAGCGCTGGTAGTAATAGACGAGAGATGCCACTGAGTGCCGGTATGCCAATGTACTCGAAGATATCGTTGACAAACGAGTTCAGGATGGCCATGGCCTTGTTGGAGATACCAGTATCAGGGTGCACCTGCCTCAACACTGCTATGAAAGTCAGACACACAATGAAAAAGTAGAGGAGGGCATACCAATGTGTCATTGACAAATGAGTTCAGGATGGTCATGGCCTTGTTGGAGATACCGGTACAGGGTGCACCTGCCTCAAACACTGCGATGAAAGTTAGACCTGCAATGAAGAAGTAGAGGAGGGCGTACCAATGACAAACAAGTTCAGGATGGCTATGGCCTTGTTCGAGATCCCTGGTATCGGGGTGCACCTGCCTCAACATTCGTTAGCCTTTCGGTAGTCTGTGCAGGTGCCTTGGGAGGCAGGACTCAACGAAGAAAAAGGTAGAGGGAGGGCGTACCAATGCGCTCGGAGATATCGTTGACAAACGAGTTCAGGATGGCCATGGCCTTGTTCGAGATCCCTGGTATCGGGGTGCACCTGCCTCAACATTTGTTAGCCTTGTCGGCAGGACTCGACGAAGAAGAAGTAGAGGGAGGGCGTACCAAGATATCGTTGACAAACGAGTTCAGGATGGCCATGGCCTTGTTGCAGAGATCCCTGTATCAGGGTGCACCTGCCTCAACACTCGTTAGCCTTGTCAGGCAGTCTTTGCAGGTGCCTTTGAGGCAGTTGAGACGAAGTCTGGCTTAGGTGCCATTTGATGATCTGGGTGGGGCAGGAGATGAAGCGGATCAGTGAGAATTGATGGACGCACCAACAAAACACGTCTGATCCTGTTTAGTCTTTGCAGGTGCCTTGGAGGCATCTGAGACTCTGAATTGGGTGCCATTTGATGATCTGATGGGTAGGAGATGAAGCGGATCAGTGAGAAACAGAAAGCGGTCCGACAGTGAGAATGATGGACGCACAAAACATTTCCAAAACACATCCGATCCTACCCCAAAAATGGCAGTTCTTCGACGGACGACGGCGACAGTCGTCCGTTTCATCCTGTCTTGTGATCCACGTCATTGATCGATGGTGGTCGAGGTCCAGGTGGAGCGTGATTGGAAAATGAGCTCAAGGAGGAAGGCAGCGCTGTGGCTGAGTCGTCACGTGTCACGTTTGCAGTCTCAACCGAGACTGCAAACCTCACCCATTGGACCGTCAATTTTTCACACGAAGTCAGGTGAATGTCCTGAACTAGATATTTTATGTTCACTTGATTTGGGATAATTGTCAAATAAATTTATTATTTATCACAGATGTACCACTTATACATCAGGATCTGGCTTTATTGTACATATTTGAACTATTTTTCGTCAAATATTCAATGTGCGAATTTGACGATTGGCCGTGTACGCTGAATTTAAGCCTTTCACACCAAACCACACATTACCTTCGTGGGGGTCACGACATATTGGTAGGTTTGCACTTAGTCTGGAGGTTATGATGCACACTAGTCAGAACTTGTTATATCTATGAGGAAACCAGATGTCACAATTTTAGGTTCGTCTCGCCACAAACTAAGGCCGAATGTATACAGTTCGAATAGGGGAATTCACAGTTGCGTTGGTAAGGCGTTTTTCGCCGAATTTGTCAAAGTCTTTGTTGTTCACCTGTGTTGGTCACCGAAGTGACCAACGGTTTAGAAAATGCAACTTCGGCATGTTCCGTCGGAGTCTGAATCCCACTCAATCCGCTCGTTCTAGTCGAGTGCTACCGCCGCAGTGACGCGCTTCAAGGTTACTATGGCGCCCATCCGCACTCAATCGGGGCACAGGAAGCTAGGAGTGCATTGAAAGACTCGGGAGACATTCGGATATATGAGCGGAAGATTTCGGGGCGATTGATTTTCCAATCAGTGAGGAGGAGAGTAAGATCTTGACCACTTTTATTGATATGGACCCGATCTGTCAGATATCTTTTGGAGTATAAGTCACTGGCTAGCTGCAGGAATACCTGACCAGTGGCATTTGTGATCTCGAGGTCAGATGATGAGTGATCAGAATTAGATCCATTGGATGAGTCATAAAGCTCGTTGTTGATCATAGACTATGAGTTTGGGTGATAAGACTTGAGACATAAGCATCATATACAGCCTGAATAGCTTGTCCTCGTGGTGTGTTGCGAGGCATGGTGAAGTGGTACAGTAAATCCAACTCAATCTCGCTGTTATCCTGGATGGATTATATAATGTTTGTTGCCGCGTCGGCAGACTCGGCAACCCGTTCAAAAGATGCGACAATTTTGTTGACCAGCGCGCGAACAACGGTGTTATCACAGTGGACCAACGTTTTTCAGTGTTTTTCAGACCTCAAAACTTTTCTGAACAACGGGCGAAAAACGCCTTACCAACGCAACTGTGAATTACCCTAATGCAGAATGAAACTCAAATCTGAAGCGGATTTCTGATAGTACATATGTATTAATACACAAAGAGAAATCTCCCCATGCTGCTGCAGTGGCATGTCTTTGACGGCAAATGTATATATTTTCTACAAAGCAAAGCAAATCAACTCGTATTTCGATCAAACCAGCCATGAGCATTCGCCTGCTGCGGCTTCGACGAGCCTGAGCAAGCAGCTAGTTACCAGTGAGGCTTGAGGAAACATGCTCGTGTTGAGTACGAGATCTGTATGGCGGCCTTGCCCTGGCGTTTTCTACTAGGAAGGAGAAATCGAAAAAGCCTCAAATGAGATACGCGCGTCTCCCTTTATTCGGTTATACGCCCTAGTAGAAGCAGCCAGACAAGAAGTCATCCAACTACAACAGTTGAATGCAAATATTAGTTGTACATGGGCTGACCTTAGTGTGAGATCTGAATACAGGCGCAAACAAAGTCGGAAAACGCAGCAGTACTCAGTCGCTGCCGCCTACTTCCTTCCTTCAAGTTGCAGTGTCTATATTTCTTACATCCTCAACACCATAATAATGGCTGATGCTGCTTCAGGCTCCGTGGACAGGTCTGTCCAGGTCAAGCTGGTTCTTCTCGGTAAGCTTTCTCAGCTATCACTAAAAGTACCATCGACACCATTCGCACTTCATATCAAACTGGCTCAAGACTCATACCTTCCGCCCTCGCTCTTCCTTGCCAACGAATGAGAACTTATATGTACATCTATAGGTGAGGCCGCTGTTGGCAAATCTTCGGTAGTCCTCCGTTTTGTAGGTGTATATTTTCGTACATCTACCACCTCTGAACGATTTCCAGGTCTCCAACGAATTTCAAGCAAACAAGGAGCCCACCATTGGTGCAGCATTCTTGACTCAGAAATGCCGCCTCGAAGACCGTGTCTTGCGTTATGAGATTTGGGATACTGCTGGCCAGGAACGTTTCCACTCTCTTGCTGTAAGTCCCGAGAACTGCTTTACCACCTGCCCTGCTCTAATTCGTGAATGTAGCCCATGTATTATCGTAATGCTCAAGCCGCAGTGGTCGTTTACGACGTGACGAAAGCAACGAGTTTAGAGAAGGCAAAGTCGTGGGTTAAGGAACTTCAAAGACAAGCAAATCCCAACATCGTTATCGCACTGGCTGGCAACAAAGTTGATCTCGTACAAACATCTTCTACGTCATCTGGTTCTACTCCGTCATCCGAGTCTGAAGATGAGGCAGATGATGCTACGGCCACGCCTGGGGAGAGTCCTAGCGCTGGTGGTGGGGAGCCAGAGAGTTTGCGACAGGTGCCACGTGAGGAGGCTCAGGCTTACGCTACCGAGGCTGGCTTGTTGTTCTTTGAAACCAGTGCTAAGACTGGCGAGGGTGTCGTCGAGATATTTACAGAGATAGGTATGCCTACTACACTCGACATAAAACTTCCGCTTAAAATCAAATTCAGCGAAGAAAATACCGATCGAGCACATTTTGGCTTCCACACGAGGTGGTGCAGGTCGATCTGGTGGTGCAGGCGGACGAACTGGTGGGGCCAGAGAGGAAGTGAACCTAGACGATCAACAGTCCAAGAAAGACGGATGCAACTGTTGAGTGCGTCGCTATGAATTCTTTGGACTGCATACCTTCAACCTTCGCCACAGCTCGCTTCTACTTATTATTACACCTGTTATCCTCCTTTCTTTGCCATCTATGTGGCTTACCCGTTGCCTTGGTCTTCATATGTAATCTGATTTTATAATTCATCAACACAAACATTGGACTTGGTACGATTCGAAGCTAACTTATAAATACAGTTGCAGCAGAGCACATTTGAGGTAACAGTAAGTCCTAAGAATGCACAAGTTGGAATGGTAACAAAGTCCCTTTAGTGAATTGAGCTGTTCAAGTACGATGAAGAAGGGACCAAATCCATATACGGAGGTGGTCGTGTCACGTGTTCCTCCTGGTCAGGATCACTACCAGGAACAAGATAAGGCGGTGGCGCATGTCCATGTGAGGCAGAATGATCTAAGATGTCACTGGGAGGGTGCAGAGAATCACGAGTGGCAGGGGTTTGACTGTATGACTGATGGGCGAGGGGGGGTGAGTGAGATTGAACAGGGACCCGCACAGAGGGCGACCTGAAATCGGAATCTATTGAAGGAGGTGGGTCTGACGGATCATCCATCGCAGGCGGTGGAGGAGGGAGTTCACCCCCAGAGCGTGGAGTGCCATCATCTGAGTCTATATTCAGAGCCTCAAAGACTCGCACGGGTTCAACTCCGAGATTAGCAAATCCCGTTACATCTGCATCTCGCTCTGCCATCTCCACCGAGGGGGGTGGAGTTGACGAGCGGTGCATCGTGTCTGAATGACCATCAAACTGCTCTGATGCAGCAAACCCAAACAGGACTCCCTCGCCGATGATGCGGAGTGCTGTGGTTACAGGTACTTCCTGGTCCGTTGTGTCTGAAGGAATAAATATTTCAGACTCAGATTCCTGGAAGCTTGGCGGAGCATTGGACGTAGAAGGCATGGAAAGGAAGAACGGTGGAGGCGGCATGTCGCGGTCTTCAAAAGGGGGAGGGGCACCATTCTGAGTATAACTTGGACCCGCTTCTCCTTCCTGATACAAGGGAATTGATGACTCTGGATCTTCTTGACGGACCGTCCTCAAAGGGGGACGGTCGTGTTTTTTCTGATATGCAGCGTCAACCCATTCTTCAACTTCAGGCAGTGGTGCTGGAGGTGGAATGATAGTCAATGGGATGGGGATAGTCATGAGTCGTTCGGTCCTACTGCTCGTTTCCACGAATGAAACGTGGACATTTAAAAGGAAAGAGACTGAATGTAGGAGGGTAGATTGAGTGATGGAGGTGCACTGCAGATCGTTGTCAAGGCTGCTGTAGTCACCATCTGGTAGACTTGTTTGATAATCTATTGGTGACGCAGATGGTGAAGCCTGATGCAAGATGAGACGGAGTCGCACAGATCGAGAGGAGTGAAATCTGCAGGATGCACCTGAGCGAGAAGTTACTGTACTATAGACTGATCCAGGAGAAGTGACTGGAGGCTTCTCCTCACGGGAAGTGGGTACCACCGATGAAGGCCCATCCTCAGGTGACAAGTCCATTATGGATTGACCATAGGGCGTACCAGGTTCCAAATCTGCGCCATCATCTTGCCCTTTCAGACTCACGATGCGAACAATCTCGGTTTTCACGTTTCGGAGTCTGAGTCCTTCGCGCAGCATAAGCTCCCTACTCGGCGGAGGCACAGTAACGTAGACTGGGATAGATTCTCCGGCCCGGAATACAGTGCGAGGAACTTGGACTTCGACACGGGAGGGACTTTCCAGGACGTGAGTTTCCGGCAAGGTATCTACAGCATGAGAATGTGAAGTGTAACGTCGCGTATGCACGACAACTCTTCTTGACACAAGTGGCTCCGACGGATCCGTAGGATGGAAAGTCGCTGTAAGTGCGTATTCCAGCGATGAATGAGGTGTATGAATACACTGGGGTGCATCAGATGTTAGGGGTATTGCGAATGAAGTTGAAGATGACATGGAGTCGGACGTCCCCATGAACGAGACTAGGTTGATCTCTGATTTTCCTAGCTCGATTTCTTGGCCAAACGCAGACTCGACGACACGAAGAGCCACAGTGCTGTTCCGCCATGATGAGTTCCTCGGAATAGATGAGAAGCAGCCACACTAACACATGTTTCCATTGGCCTGGCTGTGCACCCTTGACATGGATTTCTCCCTCGATAGCAGCGCGCTCTCCTTCAGCTCCTAGATAGCCCTTTTGAAAGGTCAACGTATCTGTTGCTGGGATGATGAAGATCTGAAGGCCAGAGATCGGTTCATCCAGCTCCCGAAGTAGATTCTGGGGGCATTCTGGAGAGTAATTTGGCGGAGGCGCCGTGTAGGTCGCCATGTAATGTGAAGCCAATTAACCTCTATTCTCCTTGGATCTAGAGTGATGACGGTGAGAGATTCCGTCAAGCTGCTAACGGCTAGAGTCTAGTCTGCTTGGAAAAGGTTGCACAGCAACAAGATAGATAAGTCACAAAGTCAAAGAAAATAATTCTACAGATCAAATGTCTGGGGACAACAAATTTTGACATGGATATCCAGAATTACATAGTATCGACAGCAAAATGTGCAGAGCGCTAGGGGCTAGCATACAAGACGTTATAACCAACAGTACCCTTCCGCGAGCTGAGCAAACAAACTAACATTCAACTCTCATCAAACTTTCCAGCTCCGAAAACATCACAGGATCCAGGTCTCGCATCAACAATTCCCAAGCAGCATCCCGGCGGCTAGCAAGCAGCCCTATGCCCTTTTCGATACCGGAATCATTACCATCGATAAAGCCCATGCCAAATGTCAGCGGGGTTTGAGTGGACTGCGAGGTGTCAAAAGCATCATCCTCTTCATCTACAACTTTCATGGCTTCTACCGCTCTTCGTGCAACGGCAAGGTGCCACTGGCGCACCTCTGGGCTCCCACCCATTGATACAAATCGTTGCACTATACGAATCATAACCTGTGAGAAACACAGAGGGCGATCCGTCTTGATCTTTTTCTTTAATTCCGGAGGAGAAAAGAACGCGATCGTATAGATTGCCATAATTGATTTTTCCAAGTAGGATAGCCACGGATCCCGGTTGAGGAAAGCAAAGTCGAGGTCTGATACTGGTAAACGATGAACGAGGGACTCCAGTAGTTGCCAGATGAGAGATTGGGGTATGACCCTAGAGAAAACCTGCCGATTAGAGTCTAGCTGACCAAGACGGGTGAAAACGTCGAGGGCAAGGTCGGCAATAGACGATGGTCTGCTATGCGAGAAAGGAACCCCACTTTGTTTGAGAAATTGTGTGGGAGGAACTGAGTCGAAGGGCTCTATGAGGATAGACGCAATGATTTCGAGGATGCGGCTTGCAGTAAGAGTTGTTGCGTTCGACGGAGAATTAGGATTCTGGAACACGATGTAATTCGAGAGATTACCAAAAATATGGAGTACATCTTTTCGAACATTGATCACGTCTGAGAGAGCAAGTGTCGGTGAAGTTGGTTTGGGTGTTCCATCTGATGACACGGTGATACCACAAACACGTAGTACAAGATTGAGTGTACGTTCGTGTCTCGCCAGATAAGGCATATTGTCAGGGGTGACAGAAAGGTTTCGTATGAGGTTAGTCACAGTGAGCACTATATTGCCTACGCGGTGCCCTGGACCACGTGTCTCATACTGAGGATCACGGATTTCTAGCCCTGCAAACAACATGGACTCCTTCTCGAAAACATTATCCATGAGAGCCCGATGTCGTACCACCTCGGCACCATTGCCAAGCCGATAGTCCGTGATGTCGGGGGTGGTCCCAAATGCTTCCTCCTCAAGTAGGTCGAGCACCTCCTCGAGCAAATCTGTGCATTGTGAAATAGGGAATCCAGACCCAGGGGTTGGACCCCGCATCGTAGATAACAAGGTGATTGTCGTTAGAGCGTAAGAAAGCTCGGCATTCAGTCGCGATCGGATGGACATTGTGAGGGATTCGATGTCGACCGTACCCCACTCATTGATATCACGCATGGGCCGCCGCTGAGACCGAAGATAATCCTCTTCCAGCGCATTGAAATCACGACCACCAGTGAAATCAATTTCGCGTGACAGGGGAATGTATTCCACTTTTGTCCTCGTAAATTGTGTACGTGAGGAGGGAGCTCCCGGCACAAATCCATGTGGTGTAGTCGTATTAGTGGTCTCGGTCTGAAAAAAAAATCAATTCGAGGGCGTGAATATTTACCAGTCACAACTCACGGTATCTGGCGGATCTGTGGCAGCTCGTATAAGATTTACTGGGTGATAGAGATAATATCTGTGAGAAATACCTGTCTTTTGCCTTGCTCGTTTCCCTTCTGCCTCTTCGGACTCTAATCTTCTTTTCGTCCCTTGAGTTTCTGGCTCAGATGTATCCGGTGTTGGTTTCGTAAGCTGGGGTGCAGAAATTGAAGTGTTAAGCTGCGATGAAGCCTGAGGTGCGGGGTCGGAGGGAATAGCGGGTGATTGAAAATTGGGCGCAGAAGATTGGCGTAAATGAGGACTTTGTGGCAATGGCTGTGACTGAGAGGCAGGGCTGATAGTGGAATTTTGATTGTTAACCGCGTGTTGCGCTAGCATCCCCCCGACTGCGTTCGGGCCAACCACTCCTGGTTGTAGTCCTACATGAGGTGCACCAGGCCCTGCATTCACGTTGGGAGGTCCAGCATTAACGCCTGGCTGGCGTCCAGCTGCCATTGCTCTACGGTTTCCCTCCTGCATATTACGACGATAGAACTCGTCAAATGGCTGTAAGATCGCGGCATATAAATGTCCCAAAAGTTGACCAGCGGGGCGCTGCGGCCCAGAATTCGGTTGATGGGGAAGATACTCTGGCAGGTCAAACTGGTGAGCGACTTGTGCCCAGCCATTTTGTTGTTGTGAGATCTGAGTTGTCAGGTTTCAGCATGCGAAACTGATAGAGCATGAATTAACAAACTTTTTGCGATCCTCCCAATTGAGTTACAATTTGCCATAACCTCAGGAGGTCAATTTCCTTGCCACCCAAGCGGACAACACCAAGCTGACCTGGTGGGCAGTCCAAAGACTTCCATTGTGAATTTGTAGGGTCATAATTAGGTGGGTATGGATTTCCAGTTAAAGCCGGCGGTAAGGGAGCACGGGTAGCATGGGCGCTGGCCAATCCTGCGAGGAAAGTTCGCTGTCGGTGCTTGACAACATCGGATGGTGTGAAATTTTGATGAGACATGGGTGCGTTTAGAGAAGGATTTGGGGGGGCATTGGTAGTCTGTTGGGCAGGGTAAATGCCTTGGGTATTTAATTGACCTGACGAGGCTGTGGGATTGAATTGCATCGAATTCGTATTATCGTGAGGTGGCCCAGTAAAGCCGCCTGGCTGATTATAAGAGGATGTCATTCCGCCGAGATATGATCCCGGAGATACTCCGCCAACAGACGCAGGCGAGCGGCCGTTGACATTTGCCATTTGTCTTTGAACTCCTGCAGCGTTCATGGCTGCCATTTGCTTGGCAGCAGTATTGAGGTCAAGAGTACTAGTGAAGTACTGGGCTGTCTCGAAGTTTTGAGATGAATTCTGAGGGATGAACGGAACATTTCCTTGTTGCTGAGATTGGTGAGTTTGCTGAGGTCTAATTTGTTGTGCAGACTGGGGCCTGTTAGGAGGAATGATGGTTGAGAACAGGAAATGGAAATGGAAATGGAAAGCTTACAACATAGTTCAGGAGTTAGACGGAAGTACTTTCATTCACCTGCTTGCACTAATTGTTGGCGGTCGAACCGGGCGAAGAAAGCATCCAACAAATCAGGAAATTCAAGTCAACACGGTTAATATTATTAGTCAGGTGTGACTGCGGCACACTCGTCTCTATGCATATAGCTCACTCAATCAAATTTTAATCTTTCAACCACCCAATTAAACGTTTCCACTCATGGTCGGCATCAAGATCATCGACCATCTGCCAGAAAACAGAACATGTTGATCAACTCGGAGGTATTCGAATAAACATGACTTGTGACATATGTGACGTGTGACAATATCTTAAATAGTTCAGATTTTTTCATTCCCAACCTTGATCCTCTTCCATGCCTACTTCAGAAATAGACGACATTTTTGCTGCCAAAGGAAAGGCAAAAGCCATAGAACTCGCTCCCCTTCCATCCGTCAAGAAGGAGAAAAAGAAGAAAAGAAAAGACAGACCTTCCACCAAAGACGAAACAAGGGAGATCAGTCAATCTTCAGGCTCAAAAACACTGAAACAACGATCACTTCCCGAGACCGTTGTAGATCCATCGTTCAAATCTTTCAGCAGTAGTAAACGTTTAAAGTTGGATGCCCCAGTTTCTTCACAGCGTGAAAAGGTTTATCATGAGACGCACAAAAGGGACGAAGACCGTTTCAAGGATTCGAGGGGTTCTGGACCTAGTAAGTTTCATCATGACCTGTTATCTTAACCTCGTTAACCCTGCATCAGGACGAAAAACTGACGATGGTTTAAACATATACAAGGAAGATGAACTGGGTATATCCAATGACGGAGGAGGTATGTTCCGCACTTACTACCATTAACATTCAACATTCACCCGGTCCCAGACACACCGCTGTGTCCTTTCGATTGCGAATGTTGTATGTATTTACTTGTTTTAATTTTTCTTGGTCTCAATACTTTCCAGGTTTTTGAACGCTAGTTGCTCTATTTGTACCTTTACATGCAAGAAGATACTCGTGAATTCACCAAGCTACCCGATGCAAGTCTGCGATATGGTAGGACTGCACCTAGCTTTTTCGAGTCTTGGCCATTTTCCGCTTTCGTTGGAAAAACTTGCATCGTCGCTTTGCGTTCCCACATCCATTTACGGTATTTATTCCAGGTTAGTGTCTCTCACGTCGCTTACTTTTGCCTCTATTTTTCTCTCCATGTCATAATTACCAATCTGACAGCAGCACAGTGGAACACAACTGTCCTGCACATTGCTACCGGCTCTTTCGAAGCCTCCCAGTTAACCTTCCGAGGTCATGATCTGAGGGGGTCAATCTGTAGCCAAAAATGATCGTTACATCCCTCTTCTGCATTCTCCGATTCATTTGATATCTGAGATAGCGCTTGTATTAATTTACTGAGGGTCACATCGTCATGTAAAAATCATATCATTGAGACGTCCTATAAAGCCCTGCCCTAATTAGTCGTCGTCGTCGTCAAGCTCGCCCAACTGCTCTGCTTTTTCATCTTCATTAAGCTCGCTCCCAAACGGATCACCACCCTCGGTGACGGCTCTCCTGACATCTTCAGCTTTTTTATTGCGTTTTTCTTCCGCTCGTCGTTGTTCAGCTGCTTGCCGTGCAAGATAAGCCTTACTACCAGGGACCTTCTCTGGATTCTTGCATAGCTTCAATCTTCTATCAACCTCACGAACGGCCTCCACATCAGGAGGATGTCCCATCTGCGTGATGATGTATTTGATCGATCCGAGGGTAGGGTCCAGGGTTGCCGAAAGAGGTTCTGCAGCAGTAGCTACCGCTTTCGAATCAGCCCATCTTTGTGCGAGAACTGGCGAGGCAAGAGCAAGGCTAGCGAGGGCGATTTGTGAGGGGGTGTAGATGAGTTCTGCGTCGGTAAAGCGGGAAGCCCGAACGTGTTTGATGGCAATATCATAGACATCCTGTGGTCGAAGGTCCTCAGATATGTCGGGCAGACTCTGTTGTTGAGTGAGTCTCAGCGCAGAAATGATATCACAGACATCATGATTACCTGAAGATCGAGCCAAATGCCCCAGAGAGCACGGTGGGCATGCCAAACTGCAAACTCGAAATTCAAGCTCTGAGACACCAGGAACTCGAGGTCAAGAACGTCTGAGTTGGACGTTTTGGGGATGTTGGAAGTGTAAGACTCCAACGAAATTGGGTTGTTGGTGGTCTTCGTGGCAAGAAATAGTGCAGTGAGCCTTCAAAGAGTATCGAGTTATTAGGGAATATCAGCAGTGTAACACGCGAACACACATCACATTCTTTGGATGCCAGTCCATCACAGTGTTTTTAAGATAGAATCGCTTCAAGTAACTGATGGCGGTCGCCTCCACTTCCTCAGGGAAACGAAAATGCCCACATAGCTGAGGGATCTTGGTGATGTAGAGTTTTACGAGGAGCTGCTCTTCATTTGCATTAAGGAACAACACGTCTTCGGACGATCCAGGCTATAGCAATTTAATTCGACAAGCACTGACACGACGGAAAGTGGGTTTCGCACCTCGTCCGCCTCAAAAGTGTTCTGTATGACCGATACTGCAGCAACATTGAGGGAAGTGCGAATTTGTTCCAGTTGCTCTGGGGAATATCTCCAGCTCTTGTACTGCGTGCTTCCCTCGTACAATGGTCTCTTCACAGGTGATGAGTTGGTCTGAGGGTCAGCTTCCTTGGCTGCGTTGTCAGCCGCCATGCGTCAGGTTGACAATTAATGATGCGTCTTGTTTCAAAGGGTAGGGTTTCCTCATGAGCTGGGTTCTGCACAACGTTGTTGTTTGCCGTTGTTCAACCACGGTTTGGTCGCTTACTGATACATCTTGCCCTTACTTTTCTACACCCATCACTGAGATAAACCTGGTATCATCGGAGGTAGCGGTTCACAGTACTGCGAAAATCTCACCACGAAGTTGCCAGGAAACACACTGTCGTTCTTTTCTGTAATTATTCAGTAATAGGTCATGTCCATTCAGACCAGCACCATTCAAGCTGTAAGCTCACGATTAGGTCGCGGTGAACACGCGCCTACGGTATACGAGGTAGTTCAAGTCAAATTTTATTTCTTTATTAATGACCGTGGAATCGTTCACTAGGTGACTTCTTGGGTGACTTCTCAACTGATCACTTCCCGCAGTACAACTGCCTCAGTCCTCGATATCTGCAGTCCTCGAATATACTGCACTGCGGTGATCGTTCAAGCTCGGCAGAGTATTGGCGGATAGTGAGTCCAAAATGATGTCACCAATCATTGACCAACTATAGGATGGCATCGTGAGTCAAACGGAGCGGAGCGCTCTAAGAGTCTAGATTCGTTCACCCATCTACCGTTGGTATGTAAAGATGAATCTTGTGGACTCTGGGCCTGTCAGCGGCTATGACGGCTCGGGGGTACTCTGATGGTTATTCATCACGAATGCCTAGCCGCACCGTAAAACTCTTTCAAGTCAGCTGATCTACAACTCAGGTCCCCGCCTGACTATGCCCCCTTGTAGATTCAGAGATTATAAGAGGGTCAAGACAATATTGTTTTGAACAGCGTCATCGCGGCTCAACTTCCGTAACTGGTTTTTGAACTTTTGGATGGTCACCTGGTATCATACTTCGATCTTCGTCACCTCGCTGTGAACCTATCATACTGGGTAAGCATCGTGATGTGGGTATTTGAATTGTCGCTCGAAGTTCGTTGGCCGACTAGTCCCATTCAGGTTCGACGTCGTTTCACTGACTGATGGCCAGCAGCCATGCTAAAACATCCTGAACTCTCGAACTATTTCTTGTCGTGATAACCATGTCAGTAGGCTGAGGAACGTACTACCGAGCCGATATAGGTTATATACTCACCGTGCAGCTCGGATGAATCTTGGTGCAAGATCATGATGCTGAATATCGGCAGTCTGGTGCGGCCGAGCGCCGTTATGATAGGATCGAAATAGAGGGACTATTATATATTATTGAGGCCCGCAGTACTGGCAGATTGCTCGATACGTAGGCTTGTCAAGAAGCTTCTCTACTACCATCAGCGCGAAGGTCGGAAGTTGGCATATCTGGCAGGAAATATGCCTGACACAGGACTGCCAGCCAGCTAAGACTCAACAACCCAATCGTTAAATGTATCATACAGTAAATATACTATGATGTCACTATAGCCTGTACCAGAATGACAGCGCATAGAATGAACCTAATTTGGCCTCAAGACCATTCATGTTGTGTGGAAGGGACTATCCTATGATCTTATGGGCGCTCGGCACAACCCAACTTGACCTATATAAGTACGTCTTCAGGTTGCCAGAGATACAGATCACACTCATCCAACCATCATGTCCGCCCACACCAACGTAAGTTTTCCCGTACTAACACATCATTCCGCCTCGTTTACTTGGCAGACACCTACAGGACAAAGCATCCAAGGCCGATCTCAAGCAAGTGAAACAGTATCTGGAGAACATAGACCCAGAGAAAGTCGAAAAGACGCACGGAAATGGGAAGTACACTGCTTGGCACGGTGACGGAAAGTCGCAGTCCAGAACGAACATCACGTTCCAGACGAAGTCGATGCTTACAAATGGAAAACCTCCAACGTATATCACAATCGTCGCGAAGAAGGGGAGGACAGAGGCGTATGTGACATATGAGTCGCATACTTGGGACGATTCCACCAAGACCATCATCGACAAGATGATCGAAGCCATCAAGGTCTAGGTGGGGTTACTCCAACTTTGTCGCAAATGCCGCAGCTAACATCAATAGAACAAGGACAGTGAAGCGATAACGCGATACGAAGAATGCTAAGACCGAATCAATCAGTTTGAAGTGTATGATATTTGCGTGTTGTACAGAGTCTTGCCACGTACCGTTTATGATATTTATTCATGCACGTCGTCATCTTCTTCCCCATCTTCTTCCCCATCTTGGACACCATCGGAGAACTGTGTCTCGAAGATGTTCAAGTCAAATACTGACTTCTCCATGGAGCTGCGGTAGACGTTTGGACCGATAATTAACCCAGTGCTCTGACCGTCCTGTTTTACCGCGTTTAATCGCCAATATGTCTCACGTATCCACTCGGCATGATCAACAAAAGAGGTCCAGCCGCCAGTTATAATCTCATGGAATTTGAGATAATATGGTGCATGCGCGAACAACATCGCGCGACCAAGATTATAGTCACCACATCGATCATGGTTCTCCTGCGCAAAATATAGACCAAAGTGCTGGCGGAGGTAGTACCGCTTGATCATGGCGCTGGCTCGAATGGTCAGATCTACTTGATCGTTTGGTCCCCGGAAGACATCCGGCCACTCGGAAGTGTCACCGAACGAAGTCCAGTCATGTGGGACAGTGTTCCAACCTTCATCGGGGATCCCCGGTCTCTCACAGGGATCCTCTCCGGTCGAATTTAAGTCATCTGGGAACTTGGCGGTGAGCATAAGAGGGAGAACCTGTGCGCCTCCCCAGTCTATGAGCCCCGTGATCTTCGTGTCGTCGTTTGGATCAAAAAATATATTGCGGAGTGCGAGGTCTGGATGGTGCAAGACCAAGGGGAGGTAAGACGATAGAGGGACAAAGTGAGGTATGAGCGAGGCAAGAAGTTGTAATAGCTCAGAAAAAATTTGAGGGGTGCATTTAGGCTCTGAGAGTGACTGAGAAAGCTGGTCCGTCTCAAGCCTGGACCATTCCCTCAGAGCGTGCAATATCTCGTGCTCCAGTCGGGCCTTCCAGAGGTCTGTGAGGGATTGATATGGTCCCCCAAGGTTCTGCTGTGTGATGGTGAAGAGTGGTCCTATGATAAAGCTTCCTTCGTTATTGAGGGTAATGCTGCCGATCTTATCAAATGGTACGGGTGCTGACAAAGTAGATTGTAACTTTGCCAGAGACTTTGTGACGGCTAGTTGCTGCACTTCTGACATACCATCCAGACCGCGAAGCTTGTTGTCATCGTTTATGAGATTGTCGAGCCTTCGTCCGTGGACGACGTCCATGAGAACATACGGTGCACCAGCTGGATTAGAAAATGTAATGTCCCAAGCGTGAACTTGTGGGACATGGATACCTGGGTACGAGCCGGATGTGCGAACAAACTGCATAGTAGCTATCTCAGACAGCTTTGCCTCGGGATTGAAATCCTCTTCATCATGCACTGATACGCTAGCCGCGATCTCTGTGCCATCAGTGAAGACAAGTTTGTAGACGGTATTATAGCTGCCTCTTCCGAGAAGTTGGATGGATTGGCAGGTAGATTTCGAAAGACAGTTTCGTAGGCACAATCGACGAGCCCAGAGAGGTTGACCCATCGCGACTTGCGAAGGGTGGAAATTTGCAGGTCAAGATCGTTGGACATGACTTGCTACAGGCCATGTGATTAACGAAGTTGAAATTCTCTGTTCATCCTCACCTACCTGGTTAATTCCTAGGAGTCCGAGTCACTGTAGCCGCCTGACGGAAGTTACTATATATGATCTACAAGGTATTCCCACGATTCAAATTGCCTTGCTTCGTCTCACGCGTTCAGATTCAATCTTTGGATCATATTATTATTCTTCCAATTCGAACATCCGAGCGACGCACTACACGACTAATCACTTTATACATCAGAGCAGGAAAGAGCATCTCATCGAGTCAAGCGTCACTCAAACCAGGCGGCTGACAGACTCGACTAGTCTTGTCCGAGGCAGGCGCTGATACCTTGTCGTTGCACCGGATTGATGAATCCGTAGTACAGCACATTTATAGGCCCATTATTTATATGGGGCCCTCAATGTATCATTCCAACGCGATCATACCCCACTCTTCTGACTCTTCCCGGCCTGAGCATATTTGATAGGCATTCCCGTCTTTCTTATTTGACGCATGAACAACGTTGACCTTGTGAGGACCTCGGTATGTAAGATGTACCACCGTCTCGTTCTGAAAGATGTATTGATCAGTAAGTGAGTTGCATGTCCTATGTCGTTATCGAGAGCTCAAGAAGCAGGAGATCTTCCAGGACAGTGATCGCGACTCGGATGTCCATGTGCTGCAAAACTATCCTGAATGAATGAGCACTCCTACCGCGGTACGACAGCATGCAGTTCATGACGAACCTAACGACAAACCTGAAGGACAGGGACGTGCAATTCCGCTCGCTGTTCACAGCGAGTTCATGGGCGGAATTGCATTGAACTCGACTGCGAGCCCCCCTGTTGTCAATCCTGACTTGCAAGGAAACCTGCACATGAGCGGTGTCCTCCTGGTGACTTGCTTGTATCCATCACTGAGATGGATTTGTTACCGTCTACCTATCTGCAGTCAGTAATATGCGTCCCATTAATTTCTTCGCTTCTTTTCGGAGCTATATAAAGAGTTATTAACACTCTTCCGACGAGTCGGATGACTTTGTACCGCTCAGAATTACCTCATTCACTCGTTCATCACTCATCACTCTCGATCCACTTCTCACTATACGACTCATGGCAGACTGACATCGTTGAAATGGGAAGCGCTTCCCCATTTTTCATTCTTAATGCACGCTCGACAAAAATTTGCGTATTTATCAGACGGGGAGCACGGTGCAAGGCACACTAGTGCTATGTTTCATGTTTACCATCGTTACTGTAGGAGTTAGGACTTCTTTTTCAAATCTGGTGATGCTAAATTTTCGCAGGCTGTGCAAGTTATCTGAGCGTTTTGTAACAGCTATCTTTATCCTAATGGGGTTCGACTCCGGGAGACTGTTGATATCGGTGAGATACGCACTGTACTGAATAAAAGAGAGCCCTCGTGTAGAATGCGGTGAGTGCACTGAGTTTATCGGTGGCCACCTGCGAACGGACTACAACACGTATATCAGGGCTCAAGCTTCAAGCTTCAAGCGCTTCACGCTACCAAATCAAGCTAGTAACAAACTTGACACAGGAATCGGTTCCGTAGTGCTCCACTGGCGAGTCCTCATGATCATGCAGGCGCGGTCGGGCCGTCTACTCCAGGAGTATCTCCCGCGAAAGCTTTCCTCGGACATACGCCTTTGCAAATAGGAGAAATGGATTGTAAACCTAACTCCTAGGAGAAGCATGCACGGACCAAATATACTCAGTTGTTTTTGTTATCTGTGTGCTTTCATTCTTGACAGTTCCACATCCTCAGCTAGGTGTGACGTCACGCGTCAATCGATGGCCCTTGATTTATTCATGTTATGTTATTCTGTCAGATAAACTATCAATATACGCTGCGCAAGGTTTAGTCTATATAACGTACTAAAATCGGTATTTTTATGAAGGGCGCGCGGTACCGAAGTCATTGAAGAGTTCTATTCGTCCTCGTCTTCCTGACGGTTATCTTTCAACCACTGATTTATCCATTCAACGATATTTGCTGACGTTATTTTCAAGATCTTGAGAAGATTCACTTTTGAGATCGATAACAATCTGTTGGAGGTAGGAGTCTCGGGCTTCTTGGAGGACGACTTCCATGATCTCCGCTTCATTGTTTTCCTGTATCTTTTTGAGAGGATAATTTCTGTTATTGGGTCAGATCTGGGTTGATTTGGATTGTGGTAAAGTATATGCACCGTTTTTCGAGACGTTCCCAGAGCATGGTATGATTGCAAGCGTAGAACGACGACTAGATCTGCCCATCGTTCAGGGAATATTTCACAGGTGTGCCAGTCGAGAATTATTCCACCAGCTGATGCCAATGGTTCGAGTTCATCTAAAAGCTAATATGGACTTGGGGTAAGTGGATGATGATGATGAATGTCCACGGACCTTGTCTTCATCTACAGTATAAGATTGCCATTGTTGATCAAAGCCGTGATGAAAAGCATTATCTTTTACTAGTTGTCCGACGTTGATGTGTTTTAGAGGGACTGGGGAAGTATCTTGTAGGAGCTGAGCATGAGTGGACTTTCCAGTACCCGGAGTTCCAGTGATGATGATAACGGGGTAACGTTGTGGCATATCGTCAAGAATTGAATTATGTAATAAGAATGTTACTATTGCGGTGATCGGGCCTTTTGAGCGGACGACCGTCACATCAAGGTAATCTACACTTTTTGAGAAACCGTGGAGAGGTACTGTTCGTTTCGTTTCCTCTCCTCATGTACAGTTTCATGTACTATGGACGGTCCTCCCCCATCTCATACCGTCAATAAAATACTCAAAATAACAATAACAGATCCCTCGAGCTTACCATCCGTTTACCTTTTACTCAACGATGACTCCAGGCTGTCATTCTTCGACGACCTTGAAACTACTTACCTCGCTCTTGTCACCATGGCGTCCCTCTTCACTATATTCGCAAGGAATATCATTCTATCAGTTGCATTCTTATGGTCAGGTAGAGTTCGCAAGAAAGCACTTCTATACACTCTATTCCTCAGTCAACTTCTCGCACCTGTCTCCATCTTGTCCTTGCTTATCGCCCAATTTCACCCTCACTTCGATTGTAAAATGTTCGTCAATCCTCTCTTTCAAATACTAACTCCTCGTTGATTTTTATTATGTAACCAGCATCATGCGCATATCGGTCGCTACTGCAGGATTATCCTTCTCTTTATTGGTACGCTCTATTTCTATTATTCCTCCATACCTAATCTCTCGGCATAACATAGATATCCGGTATTATAGGCGTAAAGGCTTACCGATGTCTAAACAACTCTCGCTTAGTTCTAGTCGTCCTCGTCGCACTCAGGACTGCTGCAATCGTTCTTCTTGCTCTTGATCTGGCATCACTTAACAGTCGTCGCAGTCTTTCAGGTGCCTCTTCCGACTCTCATTATCCCCACTTTCATTTACATTTTTATTTCAAAAAAACACAGGCCGCTGCTATCGACCATTTAATTCCCTCTCATATGGTTTCACAATACTCTTATTTGTCGAATCGCTGTTCATCTGTCTTTGTTGTGAGTCAAGCTCATTATATTACCCCAACGAGACTCATCATCACAGTTCTCTATGCCGTTTGGAAATCACGCGGTTCCACCGCCGTCCAGGGTAGAATTACCGTATCTCTCTCTCTTGACGATGTCGCAGATCCCCATCAAGACACCCGAAAAGAGAGCATCGAGAGCCACAAGACCACTCACAGTCGCCGTGGCTGGTGGGATTATGTTCCTACTACAGATCATATCGCTCCATTTCCCCCCAGATCCCGTAGAACCCAGTCTCTCCCCCGTGACCCGAGCATTCCCATGAGCTGTCTTTCCAAATTTCGCACCGGTGAAAGAGTGCGTGATCCGGAGAATGTGCCCTCCATCCCACCCATCCCACCGCTGCCTACAGAATCCCCTCTCGCTCGTACATCCGCAATCCGCGTGTCCACCACAATTCCAAATACTCGCAATGATCCCCCAATTCCTCGCCGGTCATCTTCTCCTGCCATCTCAGTCCATAAGTCGCATGAGTCGATATATGCCTCGTGTAGCGTTGTTCAGGGAAGTGATGAGAGATGAAGTAAGCGAGTCTTTTTGGTTAATGTCTTCCAGCCTTACGTGTCTATTCAGTTATTATACACCACTTTTATCGCCGCTTCCACTGCCGCTTCGGCCATAATGACTATAGTCAGTGTTAACAGCGCGAACCCTGCCGATCATGTAGCTTGGATGGCCTTTGACTGTGAGTTAGCTTCGCTAAACCCACACCCAGTGTTTTGGAAACTCACATCGATGCAGGGGCTTTGGTTTCGTGTCTTGTGGTGCACAGTTTCAGTCGCGTCATCCGCCGCCACGAAAACGAAGCTCTATTACAGCAGCCTAGCGTTTGGCATCGCAATTTGCGTACAGACCGCAATCTTTTAGCGGAGGGGAGAGCAAGATCTTCTAGGTCTTCATTTACACGCTCATTCCAAGTGCGCACCCGGCGGTATCCGATGAGTCGTCGGCACGATGGCGAAGCTCCACGCGACCCCTCCCGTTCCCCGCGAGGAGATCCTAATTCCAACGCGTTCTCTCCCCACCAAGTCGAAACCCGCCTTCATGCCATCTTACCCCCTCATCCACCCACGCCCGAGGCCGATTGTTTTCCGGACGACATCTCGTCGTGTCATAGAAGCGATACGAAACTCACGGAAAGCGTTTTCTTGGGGCATCGGTATCATGATAGTTTACCTAGTTTACCACCACGTCCGGTTTTGGAGGATCAACGTTAACCATCATTTCAAGCTAGTCATATTGTAACATAGACATTGCATCTCCAATTGACTTGCACACTGCTGCTGAACTGAACTGCAGTAGTGATGCGCAGTGTAACCGAGGTTAAGAGTAAATCTTTAAATCTGACCAAGCGTAAATTATATAGCCGATGCATGTTTTCAAGACCGCCAACAGCTCGCATCGTAACCGTCTCTATTTTAAAAAAACTCCCACGAAGTCTATCGAAACTCTCGAGATTCGCGATGGACGACGACGAGCTCATCAGCGTGCTGCCTATCCACTATTCAAACAGTCTCAATCCGAATGTGCATATTCACCAATTTCCGCTTCTTTCTCGTCCACTACAGACACCGCCTGCTGCTGCAATCAGCGGAAAACGAATTCGCGCACGAATAAAGCCAATCACTCGGAGATTAGAGATCCACGTACCAGTGGATCCGCGCCCGGAGGTGTGGAATGGAGAACGAAGCAAAACACTTGGTGCTGCTAGACAAGAGGATGACCGTGAAAAAAACCAGGACGTTGGGAAGATGAAGCAGATGGAAGGAGAGGAGCCGCGGTTGACCGAGGTGCGCATGCGGAGCGAACTGATACCGCAAGAGGGCGCGTATATGTTGGGAGTGGTTCGTAACGGTCCGTGATGTGTTCCCGTCTATGGCGAAGCCGCTTGATCTCATCTAGTGCACGAAGGTCAATTATATCTGCAACCAATCAACGAAACCCATCAATTTCGTCCGACGCTGACTTACTTGGATATCATGTCTCGAAAGAGTCGACGTTCGAGAGGTGATGCTGGATCTGATGAGGATTCTGATGATGGTCCTCCACCTGATCCTGATGAGCCGCTGCCTGTACAGACCACATCAAAGAAGGAGAAAAAACCGCTTGAAGCGAAAGAGGTTCAAGTATCTGCGCGAAAGGCCGCGGATGATAAGGGTAATTTACAAGGTGGTCTATCTGCCGTGCGACGTGAAATGCTGCTTGCTATCCGAGCTGAAGAAGAGGAGGTCTGGCAAGACCTAGACTTTTGTGACGGAGAGGTATCATTCTCTCCTTTCTTTTTTGGTGGATGCTGATTACTTGGTGTAGACTGCTGAAGGACACGAAACATTTGAAGCTATGTTTTCGCAAAATGAGGAGCATTTAGAATGCAAGTCTGATATTACTGCTTTTCTAAAGGGCATTAAAGGACTATAGATATTTATGATGAAAGCATGGTTGTCGAAGATGGTGCTGCTTCTGACTTCGATGCAACTTTATTCTGTGCCACGCAGCGCAAATCATGTAATACAAGAGCGACTCGGACGACGGTTTGCTTTCATGTCCCTCCACCATGTCCGGATAGTGAGACTGAGCCAGAGTCCGACGTTCCTCCATCACTTGAGAAAGCATGCCCCACAGATGTTTCCGCCACTAGTACGCTGAGCGACAGTGTCGCTCAGCTAGTGAACGCGCCCAAAACTCATTCCTCAGATCCCATCAGCGCCGTGAATTCAGCCGTCAAGACATTAGAGTCTTTGGATTTCAGTCTTATTCGCAAGGTAGTATCGCTTTCGAAAACAACGAATACTAACATTGTACTCAAACGCGCACAGGACACGTCTTTGCATGGAACCATTCAGGAGTCATCGACCTCACTCCTAGAGTTCTTGCATGTCGTGCTTACGATGAGTCCAACCTCCGCTCACGATGTACGCTGCATGATGGAATCCCTCGCTTACCTATGTAAGTGAATTCATGTCTATCGTTTTCCACTGCTCATCAGGTGCCTATTCTCCAGTGCGACCTTCCTTTTTAAATCTGCTGTTCCAGTACCGGCGTCTATTCCACGCTCTAGCCGTCCAGGAGCTTAACAAAGTCGCTGTGATTCCCATCATTATATCTTGGGTGGATGCTGTCCTTGCAAGACTCGGAGATGTAGCTTTGTGTGTTGCGAGCGCTATGCATGATCGCTACTTTGACGATGAACTTCCTGAAGCTTTGAGGAAACGAAGAGAGGAAGATAATCTACGGGCTGCGGCTCAGCTCCCAGGTAGCTAGCGATTTTGTTACATGTCAGGCTTGTTGATGTTGCTTCAGATAGGTGGGATTCTGTCCCGTCGATACTGACATCCGAAAAGGCTTCACCTGCCGCAAAACGCTTAGCCCTTCGCCTGCTGGTCTCGCGATACGTATTGCAACCCCAGTTGGCTCTTCACCCAAGGGTCGTTGACGCACCACTGGACGACAGGTAGGTGTTCATCTGACTCTTCTAAGATCGCCAGACTAATCGTATCAACAGTGTGGTATCGCTGCTTCCCTATCTCACAGACTTTATGCAGCACACTGTGGTGCAACTCTCAGAGAGCTCCCCACTACATGCGCAACATCAATCTGCGTTTCAGGAGCGCATGAATTGTGCTATGCTGCTCTCACTATTCGCTGTTCGTATTTCTCATTCTTCAGCCCGAAATGATGTCAATCAATGGACCACAGCTCGTGGACCTTACGACGGGTGCAAAAGATACAGAAACAGACGTTCCGTTTCGACCTCACACGCTGGCAACAGTGATGAGACTGATACGGTTTGTAATGCTTGTCGACAACACGCTCTCAGTGCAGACTATCGTATCGCCTTGCCCAGACCTCGATGCCCCGCGAGTCGTTCTCATTTTATGGAGGCATTTCGTGCCTTGGACCTGGAAATTACTCACGGAATATAACGGGTCTGATTCGGAGATCATTATCTTCCTGGTTAGGACTTCATCCTCTTCTCCGAAGGACCTCAACTGATGAGAGTAGACGACTACGTGGCTTCACAACGCTTTCGACTCAAATCCTCAAACTACTATATCTACGTTATCGACCTTTACTGGTGACGAACATGGCAAATATATGATCTGTGTATATCTTGTGAGTGTCATGCAGGTTGTCTGTCTAATCTCTGATTGCTTTGGTTGCAGGCCTATTTTTCTCGGCTTTTAGTGTATCTTTCTTCAACTCCGCGTCCTCGAAATCTCACCATGGCTCAAACGGATGTTCTACTAAAGACCTGTCGGTACTTCGTTCATTGGAGTGATTCAGATTTGTTAGGCATTCGCAAGTCTAGCGATTGCTGCAGATACCTCACTCTTCTCTTCGTTTATCTTTCGTGCATTGAAAATGGACACGATGGCGAGTCGAACTCTTACTGCATTAAAGCCGATGCTCAGCCTTGTGATTGACGTCAGCTAGTGACTACGTTACACATGCCATGGCTAGGATGCAGCCCAGAAGTTTGAGGGATGGTTGGAAGCAGGCAATACAGGAATCATCAACGTTCTGTGATGAGCTAGAGAAAAGTAGGTTTATATTTTGTAAATTGTCAAATAATAATATGCTTGCAACAGGCATGTCGAATACTCGAATGCAAGCTTTCCACCAACTGGAAGACTTCTGGCTCACTTACGTTTCCATAGGCAGCTACTCGAGGATAAGCCTGACAGGAATTATATTCGCAAAGCGAAACAATTTCTCGACTTCTTCACGATCGAATGTTTTTCAAATGTCCAGATCTCGAACCAGAAATTAATAATCGATTTCCTCGAGGCTACAATGGAATATTTACGTCGTGAATCCGCAGAAAGGGAACTGCCGAACCTGTCCGCGAGTTTCCTCTCATGTTTAACGGCATTCCAGCGCGGACAACCGGGAATCAGGGTCTGTGATGCTCCTCTGTTATCGGATGCCGAAAGTGTCTGGCAAGTCGCCACGGATAGCACCACTCCGGAATTAGCCATTGCTTGTGAGCGTCGAATTGAGAATGCATGGCAAAGTTCTCACATTTACTCTGTAGCTGCATTTGCTTTGCATATCATCTTATCTCGGCGACTGCCTGACTCACTTACCCAAGTAGAGGCCTGGGACTACCTACGAAATGTTCTCCTGATGATCGCGTCGCAAGATTACTTGGGAGATGAAAGCCCTCTTGCACTTGTTGTCAATCCGACGATATGCAATGCCCTCTCGCAGCTCTTGAGGCATGCAGACGAACATACTAGTGCGCACAAACCTTCGTATGTTGCCTTGAAATCCCTCATTGCGGTCCTTAGCGGCAATGATGCAGTCTTCTCCATGGACGTCGCATCTTCAATCAGTGCTGCAGCGAATTCAAAGTTCAGATAATTGTCCCAACTTAAATGACTACTCATCGTGGCTGAAGAAGAGAATTTCAAAGCCTGCGACAAACTTAATGGACCAGGTAGGGTCTTGGAATTAACGTAGAAGTAAGGCTAAGCAATGGAGATAGATGGTACAAGGGCCGGATGCAGGGGAGTTGCGTCAAGTGAGATTTTGACTTTCCCTTCTCAAGCCATGTCATATAACATAGGTTCAGGCTACGCCGGCGATTGACATAATACCGTGTCGCATAAACGGACTGTTTCAACTTATCTGTGTACTTCGTGGTCAGTTATTCAGACTTTATCAGAGAATGATTCCTGACACTGCAGCACTAGCGAGTTAGAGCTGGACCAGAGTCCTAGGCCTGGATCCTACTGTATTAGGAGTCATCCTCGCTCGATGGGCACTGTTTAATGGCAAACTCGATGCAACTGGAGCGCACTTACAGACATAAACCAATATCCGTCATCGTTACTGTCAGGTGAGCCGCATCGAGAATAGGGTTGTACCGAAGATACGTATCATCTTTATTGCAACATATTGGACAGGGGTTCCCTGGCCCAGACTTGACGGGTGTAACCGAATATTTTGGCAGGTACCTGAAGGGCACACATGACCGCTACTACGTCACCCTGACCTGGACTACTAAAACCGCTCAGATGCATTGAACGTATATGGTAACGAATCCACGCCTTCCCAGATGCGTGCCCACCCTTCGCGCGAATAAGGTGCATACATTGTTGTTGTACCTGGTGATCGTAAGTTCTTTCTGGACAAAGGTAAGCGCGTAACACGATGCACCTTTGAGGAAGGTATCTGGGGCATTTCAAATAGTGGCTGGAGCGAATAACTTCATGGAAGATTCATCTGTTAAGTTTGATGCGCAGTATACCGGCTTCGTCAACTCCATTGGTAGCATGCAGCACCTGATGATCTACTGAACCGAGGGAGAACGTATTTTCATCCCCTGACGTGGATGTCAGGTCAGCTGTCAATGCACAACGGAGCTGTAACGCCACATCGCCTGTACAAAGTACTTATTTATTTGAAATAAGAAGGATAGTACCTGCAGGTAAGACGGTGATGTTTGGATTCGAAATGTTCGAGTTCAATAGTTTTCAATTTCTTGAAGATGCGCTAACTAAGTAAGGGTTCGGCTACACACGTTATATAAGCTGATATGTCATTTGATTACGAGCCTTGAAGCGACGCGGAACGTCAAGGAGTCTCTTGCCATTCTACCACCACCACTACCTTCCGTTGTTTATTTGGGTCTCATCACTGCCAGCATCGACGAAGAAGTCCCATCCAATCTTTCATACCTTCAAGGTTCATGTCGTCTCCGTCAACATTTAATTATCATCGAAGATCTCTCTCAGCTTCTTCGCCCTCGCCCTCGCCCGTTCCAAAAACTCTATGGCGTCCAGCAAGCAAACGAGTTCGCTCATCGTGCAATAGCCCTGCCCTTCCAGACTCTGCATCTCCTCAAACACGTAATTTCGACTTCTGGCGGACGGGGAAGAGACTCCGCAGAGATATATCCGTTCGTGCCGATGAATCTCTGGCGTCTATCCTAGGGTCACTAACTATTCTGTATGTTTCCAGCCCCCTTCCGTGACACATACTACTGGGTCGTCCACTCCGGCGTCGACGGATAGTCACAGTTCCGGTGTCAGTTCTTCTCCACCCCACACACCACTGTTCGCTGCTACTCCAGAAGAATTTCACCTGTTCCCTAGCCGCTCAAGTCATAGAGAAACCGTATCTGAGAAGTCCAGCTCCACAAACCTTGTCGGCATTCGGTGCTCGCATTCTGACATTTCCGAGGCTGACGCTACTCGCCTCAGGTCGAATGCATTTTGGGAACTCCGCAGGAGTATTGCCGTAAGCGGGGAAGGCCTTGTAAAACGGATGCGTGATTTTGAGCATTCCCGTTCAAAATCGGGTATATACAAGCGCGCTAGGACTGTTGACAGACAAAGGGCCAAGAAACGGCATTCCCCTAGCGTCCCCGTGACCAGATGTGTCAGGAGGCCTAACAGTTCTGAGAGCGACGAGGATGACATCCAAATATACTCTGGAGAACTTTGTGGTCTCCCCGTCTCCCGTCAAAAACGAGCATCGAGCCTCGGGTCCATGGACCTGGACGACGATGAGATACAGTCCAGTCCTTTATCAGAATATATGGATCATGCATCCACCCGCTCTTCGTCTTCCAACGATGACGCAGACGATCTTTCTCGCCGCTCCTTTAACAGCACATTCCACCCTGACGCATTGCATTCAACATCATCATCTCCAGCATATAAATATTCTGCTTATACCACGGCATTTAGTCCACCTCTATCTGGCCCTTCATCGAGCTCTCCAGCTTGTTCCTTTGATGCACCACGTTCCAGTCCTATACAAAACTCAATCTCTCGATCATCTCATCCCATTGCCGCATCCTCTGCATCCAGCCAAGAAGATGTGACTTTGACCTCTTCTGCCTCGCGGACTGAAAAGGCCATTGCGGCTCTCAGTCTGGCTATAGCCAACGGTGCGGCAGGTCTAGGCGACTACGACGCCCTTCGTGATATTCCTTCTGTCATGATCGACTCTCAAGTGGGCGAGCTCTGGCACTAGGTCTCTACAGCTACAATCATCAGGATCTTATCTTTCAAAAGTCTTGTTTATGCCTCATTTCTATATGATAGTATTCGCATGCACCTCCGTCTGGACTCGATTCAAAATCCCTATTTCTTTTTCAACAGCAATATTTTTCTCAATGCACACACTCTGATACCGCAGTTACGGTCTTGCAGGTTTCTTTGCCATTGACGCGAACCAATTGTTCTGTAGAATGCTTATCTTTCCTTTTGGGTGATCGACGAAACTGTATTTTATCAATCATGTATCTGAATTGTTATTTGGGGATAAATAGTATGCATGTTCAACGCGACTTAAGAATAGCACTTGAGATCCGTACGAGAGACATTGCACTAGAGTTAGTATAGATTGCGACAAAGCAGGAATACAACAATGGAAGCAAATCGAAAGCAAGTTGAGTGGTGTAACGACTTGATGCCTAAGCACAAGAATCTTCCGTCGTAGCATTCGGATAAGTGGTATCAATGGATATTGGTTCGACTTCACCATCCCGCTGCCCAGCTCCTTCTGGACTTGCGTGCGCCGAAGTCGCACGCGGTGAAGCATGCACTGAGGGATATCGCTGAGATGTACCTCGTTCTTGTGTCTGTCCCCGTTCCCTCTGTGACCTATCAACCACTTCTTCCATCTGAATGCGCAAGCGCATTTCATCTAGATAAAGTTCTTCAGCACGTTTTCGAGCCTGGCATTCAATTTCTAGTTGACGTTTCATGGCTAGTTCCCAGAAACAGTCAGTTCAGGTCGAAAGTAATGCGACTGGGGTAAGTACCGGCGATTAAGTGCTGCACAGCAGGTGGGACGTAAACAGATGGCGCTGCGGGTGACATTGGTACTCATGGCGAAAGCACCTCATGCAGGTCCAGCATGTGAAAACCCCAAACAACATCCTCAATATCGGCTTGAGATGAAACAACGTGCTCGATATCGACGGCAGGAGAAGCTCTAGTCGAGGATTCTTCATGTTCGACAGGGGCAGCAGGTCCAGCCAAAATCGTGGTCTCTGGGAGGATCTCAAGCTTTGGCAGTATAGGTAGTGCTGCCGCAGTCCGGTTCTGAACTTCGGTTCGGACCTGAACGCTTCCGGACCGGACCGTGGGTTCGGTCCTAGGTTCGACATAATATAAGGACCGAACCGATTATTAGGTTCGGCGTTCGGCTGCTGCCTGAATACTGTGAACCCGTTCGAACCCATTCGAACCCATCCGAACGTGTTCTCAGATTCTTTGCATGATCCACCAGTATCTGCTCTGATCTTCTGGCAACGGGCATGTCAATCGATCTCGGGACAATCAACAGCGGGTCTGACTTCGCAGCCAAAACACCCAACACATTTCCATTGGCGACATCTGACTTCCTTGGTAATCCACTCAATGTTCTGGTAAGCCCAATGTTAATCAAATGTTAATCTTTATTCAGACTATAATGTCTTTTATGTTCAGAACATATCCTCCAGTTTCTCGTTCCGGTACCTCAAGCTTCAACATCAAGTAATTGCATGGCAACAGTATGTTCAAGGTGCGTCTTTTTTTTTGATCTCTTATCACAAGTTTTAGCATAAACAAGCTGCTAACTACAGGTTCAATCCCCACCCTCCTTGCTGCACAAATGTCGTGCGCACTTGGATCTGATGGCCAACTCAAAGATGCTAGTGCCATCGATTGGTACAATGATCCCGACAACGACACCGCCATGCTTCCTCCACCTCCGCCTCCTGCATCCAATGGCAAGCTAACTACCTTCGTGTCTTGTTGCTCAGGCTGAGCCATCAGACCGACAGAAAAAATCCGCGATGCTGCCAATGCAGCTCCAGCCAAATGAGTGGCTCCAGCACCTCCCCAAGGACAGCCTGCACCTAAGCGCGTGGTCCGTCACCGTGATGACGACGACGACGACAATGACGACGAACCCCCTGCGCTAGAGGATTGTTCAGATGATGAAGAAGAGGCTGAGGACAACGACAAAGAGGAAGCTTATGAAAGGACCAAGGCATTTGGAGACAAGGATCGTGAGGATCGCAAGCATAAGGGCAAAGAGGAGCACAGTAGGGATTTGAAGGTGGTATTCACTCAGGAGAAGGGACACATCAATCCGCACACCCAAGAGCGTGAAGATGGCTGGTGGTGTGAGATATGCAGGTACATTTTGACTTTAAACATCAAGCGGATTACTCATGTCAATTCTAGAGCTAATAATGTACCAGCCAATCAATCCTTTTTCAAAGGCAGCATTTCGACTCGGCGCACACATATTGCTCGCAACGCGAAGTGCCACTTCCCAATCTATCGAGACCGCTGCAATGAGCGAGGCATCAAGATGCACGATCGTGCAATACCACCTACCTGTAAAGCATCTGACGAAGGAGCCCAGCAAACATTAGATGGCTCCCTTGCAACTAAGATTCCCGAATTTACGAAGTCTGGGCTGATGGATTATATTGTCGAGTTAATCGTCTCTGAGGATGAGGTGCGTGATCGCGTTTTTTGATTGATAATGGTGACTTAAGACTTAAGATTACACAGGCATTCCAACTTGTTGATAAGGGACCATTTCGCCGCTTACTCCAATACCTCCGGCCCTCCCTTTCAGACAGGGATATCCCCCATCGTACAAAGACTCGCGATGAAATTCTCGAACGGGCCAAGGTGGCCATCCAGCGTGTCAGAGAGAAGCTCAAGCACGTTGACAGTAAAATCTCCATCACCTTTGACTCATGGACGTCTGAACCGGGCGTGCCTTTCCTCTCTGTCACCGCACATTATATTGACTCACCAGATGGGAAACCTCAGGAGTGGGAGTTGAAGAGTGAGCAGCTTGCATTCACGATCATCAACAGCAATCATAGCGGCAGCAACATTGCAAGAATTCTCATTGAAACTATCGACAAATACGACTTTTGCACCAAGCTTGGATGGTTCACCGCTGACAACGCCACCAATAACGACACCGCAATTCAGACTGTTGCATTCACTATTGACCCTTCTGGTAAGGACTGGATTGCAAGCGAGCGCCGTGTGCGGTAAGTCTATTTAATATGTCATTCTATATCTACTAACATCTACTTAGTTGTATGGAGCACGCCTTACACTTAGCAGCCAAGCACTTCGTCGAGGACATCGCTCCCACATCCGCAAGTGCTCTCCACAAGAATGCAACCGAGGACAACAATGAATACAAAGAGACCACCGAGTTTGAGGTTGCTGACACTGTTGGGAAAGCGCTTGTGTTCGTCACGCAGGTAAGTTTGTATCCATTGTCCAACTAGCTCTGTTTGATGAACCCTTCTTTCAGGTACGGAAATCTCCCCAAGCCCGCACCTTCTTCCAAAAGTGCTGTGTCGAGGTCAATGAGCCCAAACTCGAGCTCTTAAAATGGATTTGCACTCGATGGGCCTCGCTGTTTGGCATGTTAGAGCGCACCCTCAAGTTACGCAAGGTCAGTTAGTCACCGCTACTGCCCCTACAAAATACTAACTCTATCGACAGGGTGTGAATAGGTTTATACAGCTTGCGGACGATAGCGACGAAGTTCCGAACCTGCAGGGCAAGTCATATGGCACATTCAAGCTCTTGGCCGAGGAATGGAAGATGTTAGAGTTGATGCATGACGTGCTTCAGGTGCATGCGCCGTCATTGATGAATTTAATTTTTTATTAACCTATTGCATTATCAGGAGCCTGCAAATGCTCAGCAAATGTTCTCTGCAACTCGCGAACCCACTGTATGGCGTGCAATCCTGGTGCTCGAATTCCTCCAACAAACGTGGCAAAATATGGCCACATCTTCGAAGTTCGTTGACTTTTCAACTGCCATTGACTCTGGCATCGCCAATCTTCACAAGTGGTACCACAAGATCGATGAAACCGATGTCTATTTCATTTGTCTCGGTACGTGTTTTAATTTTTTGATTAATATAATGCCCTATCTAATGTATTGTATCTAGCGCTTGACCCCAACTACAAGATTGCATACGCGAAGAGTAAATGGGAGCCCCATGACTTCGACAAGGGCATGGAATGCCTGCAGACTGTTTTTGACAAATACTATCACCAACATTCCTTGCCGGACGCAGAGCCTGCTGTTGTGGCCTCTTCCTCTCTTTCACGCCAAGGCTCGTACAGCCACAGTTGGATGCGTGACGCTGTTAAATCCCATGTTGCGAGTGACACTGCAAGCCGAAGGCCTCGTCAAGAACTTGAGGACTACCTGGCTTCCCCGCTCGAGGACATCGAGAACGTAGTAGCTTGGTGGGGTGTGGGTGTTTTTTTTTGATTCATTATTCCTTACAAGTTGACATAAATGTTCTTAGCATCATTCAATTCAATATCCTACCATCTCTCGCATTGCTAAGGACTACTTAGCTATTCAAGGCTCCGCTGTTGCATCCGAACGAGCTTTTTCAAGCGGCGGGATCACCAGTACTTCACGCCGCAACTGTTTGTTGCCATCGACTTTCGAGGCCCTTCAACTATTGAAGAGTGGGTATCGTCAGGGCCATATTTCCACGATGGCTCAAGCTGAGTTTGCCGCAGCTCGTGAATGCTTTGTCGTGGATATGGTGTAGTTAGTAGTTACTCATCGATTTTTTCATGTCGCGCTCAAATTTTTTTGAAATTGATATTATTGCGTTCAGACGTTCGAACACGTTCTGAACTTGAACCGAACGTTTGCGAACGCGTTCATAAGGGTCCGGTCCAGTGTTCGCTCTCCTTGCCTGAACCGGACCCAAGGTTCGGTTCTAGGTTCGACAAAACACCCTCAAGAACCGGACCGAACCGGACCGCGGCAGCACTAAGTATAGGACTACTGGTGAGATGCAACATCGTAATTTCGCTGTCAGTAGCAAGTAGTTGTGAGGGCTGATTCACAACCTCTAGAGAACCGATGACAGGGGTATGTGAAGCCTTGGCTGGTGTTTCTGTTGTCTCCTCATTAACATGCTGCGATGGAGCCATATCTGGATGAATATTCTCCGGTGACGAGCTCGGATACCTTAAGTCACAATCTGATAAACTATATTGTAGGACAGATTCCCCATCCAGCGGGAGCGGGGGAGTGAATAGCAACTCATTTGTAGCAGGCACGTCCGAGTCTGGGTGTGGCTTAGCCACTTGGTTAGACAAGGTGCCGTAATCTTGTTTTATGTGGTCGTTGTTTGGGGTGGGTGTGGTTTGTTGGGTCCAGCCACTTCACCGGATGGCAGCAGGGTTCATGGCTTCCACATTTGCTTGATATATGCGACGTTGTATCCGTACCTGCACTTGTACTTGATAGCAGTGTTCCTTGAGACATGTGAAGATTTGCCCACTCTTCCATAAGGGCAGCCTTTACACCATTATCTGCAAGACTGATTTTACGCAGAGGGCCTATCTTCTTGAGAGTAGATGACTCGACCGAGTCCAAGGAATCCTTGGAAGCTAAGTATGGATAGATGTCTCGACTTTTTGTAAAAATAAAAGGATGGATCTTCTTTGCCAACCGTGATGATATCCGAGGTATTATCATAGTTTCAGACCGAAGAGATGTATCGGACACCAAGACAAACATAGCCTGAGTCACATCAGCCTTTGAGCCACGCCGAGTTGCGGACTTGAACTTCGATTTTTCCGAGGTGGCCTCGAACTGAGGCTAGTGGTCAGGTTGTCTGGGACATGTGGTTGGCTGCCATAGAGGTTTCCACTGTATCACTGTTTTTTGATACTGGCGAGACAATGCATGCATTTGACACGTTGTTATTTCTCAGCAAGGAAATGTTCACCAGATATGAACCCATGTGCACAAACAACATCAGGAGATGGCCCGTCTATTGTATGGTCTGGTAACCAGTCTGGACTAAGGTAAGGTAGACCTCATGTGAAAGCATCAAATGTCACGTGAGTGTGACTAGCTGTGACTGGTTGAAGTTATCCACGCAAGTTGCTGCACCTGACCTTCCCAATAAGTCAGCCTTACTATGCTGAGCGATCACGTGTATGGTTCAGTTTTACTTGGCTTAGTTATGGTAATTCTCAACACCAGCAATAAATCATGTCCTAAATCATCTCATTCCTTCAAGTATACTATCCAGGTAGGAGGCGAGGCTTGGCAACACATTTGGCAGTGTATCCCGCTGAAAGTCGCCCTCCCACACCCTCTGCGCTTTCAGCAAAGGTGCACATTTTCTGGTAGCGGGCTTCTCACGCCCCTTACTTTTGCTCACCATCATCACCAGCGCCCTCCTGTCCTCATCTTGGCCTTCTCAACATCTAGACGCCCTTCTTAGCTTCTGGATGCCTCTCACCCTCCTCAAACCATCTTCCTTCTGCCCTCCTCAGCCTCTGTGGCATCTCTCTGGCTATTCCTTCCTTTCATCTGGTGTCATTTTTGCCCAGCTGGTGCCCTCCTACCTTCATTGCCCTCTGTGGCATCTCTCCAGCCATTCCTTCCTTCCGTCTGGTGTTGTTTTTGCCTGGCTGGTGCCCTCCTACCTTCATCGCCCTCTGTGGCATCTCTCCAGCTATCCCTTACCTCCACCTCTTCTCTGTTATGTTACTTGGAACTTCCAGGAAAATTACAGGGCTCTCAAAGGCCACAACTAGACATGGATTCTGGCACTCCATTCGAGCTTCTGAGGTACTCACTGCAGGGAAACAGAAACAACGACGGGAGGTAACTGACGCAAAGCGCCAATCACATGTCCAGGGTGCAAGGACTATGTTTAACTCTTGTATTCTCCTGACCTTTGTTTTTAGAAATGTCCAGCGAAGATCAGGATCTCGTTGAATCTATGTTGGCTGATACTAACATCAACATAGATAGTATACCTCGCACTGTACCACCTGGCGAGGAAGGACTTGACTTCAGCCATGAGGGCGGAGAGTATGAAGCTTTTGAAGGACTGGCTCAACAGATGGCAGATCTCTCAGGATGGCACACAATTATATTTATTATCCTACTGATTCATCTGAAGCATTGTTGGCATTGATAGCCGCTATGCGGACCCACGCACTTGATTGATTGTATAGAAGCTCAAAATGAACATTGGGGTAATCAAATTGAAAAGCTGGTCACTGTGTATCTTGACTATCACACCTGGGATGGTGGTGATGACATGCCAATCTTGCCACCTTCAGATGAACCCACCCTTGATGGTGACTGCCTATCACTCAAGAATATCGAACTAGTTGATATTTTTAGTAAGGTTCAGGGCACATTGGCTGGCTTCATTGTTAACATTGTCTAGGTCAGAAGCACGTGTCTTTGGAGCCTCAACCATCTCACCAGTATCCGAACGAAACCCTCATCCATCATGGTTATTTGGGCTGCTTGCCATTATGTCTCACTGTTGCCATCTCCATCCGGAGCCCATTCAGTGAATTCACCTGTCTCAGACAGGCAGCCGAGCGTGACAATGTACTGATGGGGACAGGCCATCCCATGTGGGCCCATGGTAATAATTGTACCATGATATAGGAGTGGGCCGAGTGAATATGTGTACCTGAGCCCAACAGGTGGGCCGGGGGTATATAGTATAGACAATAGTATAGGAATGTACTATTATATAGGACATTATGAATGGTGAATCTAGTTTACAATGGAGACAAGTGGGCTGAGTGAATGTGTGTATCTGAGGCCAACAGATGGGCCGGGCCTAGTGAATGTGTGTACCCGAGGCAAACAGATGGGCCGAGGGAATATAGTATAAACAATTGTATAGGAATGTACTAGTAAATAGGACAATATGAATGGTGAATCTAGTTTACAATGGAGACGAGTGGGCCGAGTGAATGTGTGTATCCGAGGTCAACGGATGGGCCGAAAGAATATAGTATAAACAATGGTATAGGAATGTACTAGTATATAGGACATTATGAATAGTGCATCTGGTTAACAATGCATCCGGCTCATCTAGCATCAGGTAAATGGATGACCCGGTAGGTATATATGCAGGTACATATATTATCTGGTAGAAATATAAACCGGTGAGGATATTATCCGGTGGGTAGGGATATAACCCGGTGGGTATATTATCCGGTAGGTAGGTATATAATCCAGTGGGCATATAATCAGGTAGGTATGAAATCCAGTCATATAATCATGAGTAGGTATATAATTCAGTGGGTAGGTATGAAATATGGTAGGTAAGTATGACATCCGGCAAGTATATACTACGGTAGGTATATAATCCGTTGGGCACATCATCCAGTAGGTAAATATATTATCCAGTGGGTATGTGATCTGGTAGGTATGTATATCAATCTGGTGTATATAATCCAGGAAGTATCAAATCCAGTGGGTGTATTATCTGGTGGGCATATACCCCGGTGACCTGCACCAAACTGGTCCGGTGCATGACCATGCGGTGTTAGTGAATATTTTTCAGGGAATTTTGCATGGAATGAATTTTGTGTTATTTGGCTTGAAGATGACTCAGCTAGATTCTCATGCATCTGAAGCTTCCATGAAAAATACTTTCCGTGTATGTTTGTTTGCGGGAACTTTCAGGAAACTTTAAATACACGTGTTACCCGGTTTTGCTTTATGACATATGCTAGGTCTCTAAATAACATCAAATACAAACAAGTTTCAACATATTATGTAAACCATGTTTTCTTACCACAGTCAGCTGATCTATGACTAAGCCTGACAAATCATGTTCACCTACGTACAATTCACACGGGTATTATGATCTATGACAAATAATGTAGTATATCTAGGTACGTGAGAAAACGAAAATTGAATATACCTAGGTACGCGGGAGTAAATTAGCACAGCCACATAGATTTGTCTATATAAGGACCTCCGTTTTGGCCTGAAATGCAATCAATCAGACTCCCAGAGTCACCCTTAATAAAATTGCGAGTGAGGTTTGTGTGACCAGCATCAGCAACAACCACGAAGAGTTGTTCGACATTGTCGGGTACATTGATGAGACACTAGGAGCCATTGAGCTCACTGTGCTCAACAACCTGCAAGGCCTAGTTATTTGTATTGAGAAGTCTCTTGTTTTTCTGAGTGTTTGTGTTTGTGTGCACGTGTCTCTGTTTCTATCTCTCTATCTCTGTTTCTCTAGGATTGGGATCTATTTCTTTTAAGTTTGAGATCTATTTCACTCTAGTCTGGGATCTATTTCTTTTATCTCTGTTTCTCTAGGATTGGGATCTATTTCATTTTGATTGGGATCTATTTCCTTATCTCTGTTTCACTCTATCTACCCATTGAAAGCTAACAGTCTGAGTGCTCGTTTATTGTCGTGTCACTAACGTGCTATAGATTTTAGCGAATATATACTGAGTGTTTGTTTCTTGCTGCTGATTGTTACGACTTGGATGGTATCTGTTGGCGACGCTCAAACAGAGCTTGTGTCGTCAACGGTCTGTGGACGTCCTTGGGCTAGCCCAAGGTTAGGGGTCGTACTTGGCGGGTCTTCGGCAAGTACGATTTAACGCCTATGTCCAAATCGAGTAGCTTATGTCACGCGGGTGCGAGACGATAAGCTATATCGGCCTAGGCTTACGACACCCGAAGGTTAATCGTAAGGATCGTCGTTAATTAGAAGGACAGAAGTCCGACTAGTTAACAGGGGCTTTGCTCGTCGACGAAGTCGATGAGTAAAGGTCGAGACTATTGGCTTATCCGCGATGAGCAGATAAGAAGATAGAATATAGACTGCTGGCGAGGCAGAAGGATCACTCTGGTGGGAGTAGGAGGTCAAGAACCAAGTAGATTCAAGTTAGGGAATATAGTACATGGTAGCGAGTTTATATAGAGGACAGGAGACGTATTAGTGGGTGATAACTCGTACTACCGGGAGAGGCAATCGGTAAAGGGTATAACTATAACAGGAAGGCACGTTCGGTTGAGGTGGAACGTGCTAGATAAGAAAGTGAGTCAAAGGTCGACACAAGAAGTGAAAGGCACAGGGGCACGATCGTGCAACTGCGGATCTAAGTATAAGTCGCATGTGCGACTGCGCACCGAGTCATAGATCAGGAAAGGGAATAGGGCAAAGGGGATGCGTCGTGCATCGTGTCATAGGTTACCATCCAGATGGTAAGGGCAAGGGGACTGTCCGCAGGATCAGTCAGGTGGTGAAACAGAACATGGGTATGCTTCGTCAGCGAAAGGATCCGGCCAAATGTACTGGCTTTGCTGAAGCGACAGGTAGAGGGCGAAAGGGAATGCGAGGATGATGAGGATGACAAGGGTAAGGTCGGGGTAAGGGTATGATGCGAGGGCTGATACGAGGAGGATGAGGAGAAAAATAGTAGGGGCCCAAGCATCTAGATGTTCTTGTAACAATATGTAGTTAGGCACATAAATCATATGATAGAACAAAAATGTTACATGGGATAGTATCAAATTCAAGTGTCATACAAGGTAAACGCAAATGATGGTGAAAACTCAAATGACGGTCAATGACTGTAATCAGAGTATTTGGTGAGTGCAGCCTTTTGTCTGAAAGCTGCTGCATATTTGGGAACCGAAGATGATCCCTGCTTCAGGGTTTCCAACTCCCTGACAGCCTTTCCTTCTCTATTGTCTTGTCCCCACATGGTTTCAAATTCTGCTGACCAAGCTTCAAAGGATATCGGTCATGAGTCGAGTTCTTCAACATATTTCTGTGCCCATTTAGCAGCAGATCCTTTGAGAAATGACAAGGCAGTTGTTATCTTCTGCCTGTCCGTGATCAGTGGCCACTATAACATATATAATGCCAACGGAGTAGCGTAGACTTCTACGGAGATCAAATCTTTGTCTCTGGTGAATTCTGTGGGCTTCGACAATTTGACTTGCGAAGTATTCGGGGCTTGGGCGAATCTTTCGAGCTTCTTTTTCAGTTCCTTGATTTCTCCTGCTTGCAGTCTGATGCGAACTTCTTGTGCTTCATTCTGCGCATGTAGGGTGTTATTGTGGTTTAATAGGTTTTCCGTCCTCATGTATAGATCGTGTGATGCCATGTTGATTGCATTCTGTACATAGGTTGTGAATTCTACTGGCATGCCCATGCCTTGTGGTTGTGGTTGAGGACCTTGTTCTTGGGGTTCCTGGGGTTGTTCAGGTCCCATGGTTGCTTCGGAAACTTCAGCCATAGTGCCAGTTGTGTTCTGGAATCCGATTCACTAATGACTGTTGAAGAGTGGGTCGTAACAGTGTCTTCTTAGATAGATGATCTATAGATGAACACCTACAAAATCAAATATCTCCACGGTCAGCAATTCAGACAAATACCAATGACAGATAACGTGGTCGTTCGTGGGTGGCCTGTCAGTATATCCAAGCTACGGTCAGACAAAGGTACTCTATGATATCAGTCTAGAAACACTAGTCAACCCAATGATATGGTGTTGACTAAAAGAAACAAAGAAACAGAAAAAAAAAAACCAAGACTAAGCACAATCACTGGTGCTAAACAGAAATGAGAACTAAGACTAGGCACAATCAATGGTGCTATATTCTAAACTTACTATGAAACAATCGTGCGAAGCTGTATTGGTCACTCCCACAGCGCAAACAGGTAGGATCAAAGGTCAAGACTTGTCAAAAGCTTCCATAGAACTCTTAGCCTAATATTGAATCTGCTGCCAAGGAACTCACGATGAGTATTAAACAGAATCAGAAACAGACGTCCTTGGATTTCAATACCAAGTCCCCTATTCAATAGCTAAAGCCTATCTGACAAATAACAATCCTGGCTCAGTATACTACTCAGATGTGTGAGGTCAAGCGGACAATAATCAACTTCTGAAGTCTCCCCACTAAGCTACTCTGAGCCTTTAGCGGACATAGAGACAACACGAAGAATCCAAAGATAAGGCTTGAATGTATTCGCTACAATCAAAAGTATGTTAGTATCAGCAGCAAGAAACAAACACTCAGAATATATTTGCTAAAATCTATAATGCATTAGTGACACAACAATAAACGAGCACTCAGACTGTTAGCCTTCAATGGGTAGAGAGAGTGAAACAGATAGAGTGAAACAGATCCCGACGTAGAAAGCTGATTTCCGCTGGGCTCAGCAGAAATCGTACTACCTAGACAACAAATATTTAGGTAGATCTTAGCACGACCTAGTCTGCTATACTTGCAGAGCAAGTGCGTTTGATCCTATAGGGGTATCTGTTTGGTATTAGTCTTGATAGTTATCAATAGTAGGAAGATAATCCAAAGCTAAGAACTACTTGTCCGAAGGAAAACTGTCGGGTCCAAAAATATCGGAGTCGGGTCGGGCATCGGACTATGCATTGGACTGTCGGGAATGCATTGGACAATAAAGGAATGTGTTGGAAGTGTGTCGGATTGTCGGTCAAATGAATGTCGGATGTGTCGGAATGTTTTGGAGAAAAGGAGTGGATAGATATTTCGCAATACAATAAAGTACTACTAATATCCAATGACTTCCATCCTACTACTGAGTAGGGAAAAGTAAGTAATGCAATAGGTAGGAAGTACTAGATATTAAATAGTGACCATGTAGAAATTTGGACTACTATAGGTGAGAGTAGTAGCGATATTTCAGGTCCGAAATCCTATGTAATAGGACATGTGGTACTGCGGACCATGAGAAAACATGTAATAACACTGTATACAATGCTTAGCAAGTCAAAAGGAGTAAATGCGCACCTAGTGGAGATAGATGCGACTGGACAGGACATAGGGAGGACTGGTCCGATGCGATGTCTTAATAACCGAGGGTCTTATATAAAGTCGTGTAAATGTAATGACACCACAATTACACTTTGGATAAGACTGCTTGCCAGTCCTCGATTAACACGGTCTACGACTTTTCCTATTTCGTGGTAGATAACGTGTGAGTTCTTGGGAGGCTCGCTAAACTAATCTTTGTCAAGATCAACCTAGCCGGAGCTTTACTTTTCTTTATTGAAACTCAAATCTCTTGTCTAGGAATAAGCTTCTAGACACGTAATTCGGTTTCTGGAATGTATTTGCCTAGGAAATCTCCTTCTAGGCTCTGGACTTGGATACTGGAACTAGTGAGACGTGGTCTCAAATATACGAAATATGACCAAGATCGCTTGGTCTATGGACACCTGACTGTGAGACAATGGTCTCAAATATACGATATATGTTCAAGATCGCTTGAACAAAGGGGACTATAACTTGACCAAGATCGCTTGGTCTATGGGACAACTAGTGAGACGTGGTCTCAACAATATGATAGATGACTAAGATCGCTTAGTCAAAGGGCACAGAGCAATGAGACAAAGGGGTCTCAAAGACAATATATGTGACCAAGAACGCTTGGTCTATGGCACTAATAAGTTTCTAAGGTAAGAAACTTATAATCACAAGGGAATTCTTTTCCCTGCACTTGTCTCACTTCAAAGGGACTAACTTTGCAAGTGAAATATCTGAGAGGCAGATTGCTACAAATGGGAGATCATATATTTTTGGGGGAGAATGGGCTCTCCTTATATACATTTTGTGTGGGAAAGTAACCTAGGTTCACAAACAATAAAAAATAAGGAGGACCAATCAAAATATTGGGTCAAACCCAATAAAAGAATAAAATACAAGTGAAATATGGAGCTATGACATCATTGTGGAGCAGAACATTCTGGAATATGGAGTAATGACATCATAATGACATCAAGAGTGACATCATTGTGGAGCAAAAGATTCCAGAACCTTCCATGAGTGAGTCAGAGTGAGTCATTGTGGAGCAGAATATTCTAGAAGGAAATGACATCATGAATGATGTCATTGTAGAGTAGAATAATCTAGAGCTTGATGACATAATATCTTTCAACAGAATACCTGCAGGAGTATCTGTGGAGTCTTATGACATCATAATGACATCATACCCTATGGGTACAATTTTATGAAGTGTCAGGTGAGTCAAAGCATCCTAATGAAAAAGTAAAGTAAAGAAACACTAGAGAAAAGTAGGTAGCAAAAATAAGACAGTTGGCAGGAATTGAAACACAGTCAAAAAAATAATGCAGTTGGCAGGAATTGAAACACGGTCTTTTTGGATAGGTTTTTTATTGGCTTTGTACTTTTCTCTATGGTTTTCTCTAGCCAAAGTGAATAAGCCAAAGGCAAGGCTATACCTTAACCTTCATTTCCCTTCTCACATCAACTAGGTCTAAATGTGATTCCCATCTCACATTAGACTTTTTCCGTCAAAACATATTCAGATCATGAAACTTGGGGAAAACTAGAAATATGGACCATGGTTTGAAACCAAGGTATGGGTTGACTAGTCTGAGGACTAAGCTAGCAGACTTTATCTTTTGAGGGTCACCTAGTATTCATGTCCATGCATGATTCCCACATCATGCAGGACAGCGCGGGAATGTTGGGTCGGGATCGGACATGCATTGGACTGTCGGAAAGTGCGTCGGGTTGGGATCGGACTGTCAGACTCGGGTCGGGGTAGTCGGAAGTGTGTCGGACAAATACTGTTTGACATCAGTATCAAAATAGCTGGTTCCGAGCCCAGTGCCGCGACCATCGTTACACCGAGCTAAAGAAATAGATAGAGTGAAATAGATCCCAAACTAAAAGAAATAGATCCCAATCCTAGAGAAACAGATAGAGAGATAGAGACAGAAACATGTGCACACAAACACAAACACTCAGAAAAACAAGAGATTTCTCAAAACAAATAACCAGACCTTGCAGGTTGTTGAGCACAGTGAGCTCAATGGCTCCTACTGTCTCATCAATGTACCTGACAATGTCAAACAACTCTTTGTGGTTGTTGCTGATGCTGATCACACACAAACCTCACTCGCAATTTTATTAAGGGTGACTCTGGGAGTCATATTGATTGCATTTCAGGCCAAAACGAAGGTCCTTATATAGACAAATCTATGTGGCTATGCTAATTTACTCCCACATACCTAGGTATATTCAATTTTCGTTTTCTCACGTATCTAGATATACTGTATTATTTGTCATAGATCATAATACCCGTGTGAATTGTACGTAGGTGAACATGATTTGTCAGGCCTAGTCATAGATCAGCTGACTGTGGTAAGAAAACATGGTTTACATAATGTGTTGAAACTTGTTTGTATTTGGTGTTATTTAGAGACGTAGCATATGTCATAAAGCAAAACTGGGTAACACATGTATTTAAAGTTTCCTGGAAGTTCCTGCAAACAAACATATGTGGGAAATATTTTTCATGGAAGCTTCAGATGCATGAGAATCTAGCTGAGTCATCTTTGAGCCAAATAACATCAAATTTGTTCCATGCAAAATTCCCGCAAAATATTTACTAACACCGCATGGTCATGCACTGGACCAGTTTGGTGCAGGTCAACAGCTCTTCCGGAAAGGAAAGATGATGAAAGGAGAGAGGGGAAAAAGATACGTAAATGGAAAGCTAAAGGGGTCCCCAGTACTAACTGGATCAACCTCGTCCTTTAGGGTCAAAGGGTTCTTTAGTCAACCCAACTGACTCTTCCCTAATTACTAACTAAAAGAGATACGTAAAGCTACACTTTTGTTAAGTGGGAAAAACACGGTGTGCTTTGTGTGTGCTACTTCTCAGTCACTGAAAGGGTACAGGTCTATTGGGTGCCGGACCCAAGGTCTTGGGGTATAAGGGATGAGCCCGGTAGATGTCCTCATTGCTCCCAACGCGAATCCAATCTGGTACTTTCACCAAGCGCACAGTACCCCTCTGAGCCTGATGGATCTCAGCTGCCATTGACAGCAGGCAAAGGGGGATGTAGGTGGCGACTGTCTGGTAAGAACGAATTGCGTCGTTCTTGGGAGAGTATCAATACATACAATAGATAAAAGAACATGAAACATACCAATTTAGAAGCAATGCTTCGACTCAATCTCATTTTCTCTTCTTCTGACTTGGACTGCAGGACCTGTTCAACCAGTGCATTCAGCTGGTCAAGAAGGGCAATGAGTGCCTGGTTGGCAGTAGCAGCAGCAGCAGTGGTGGTGGTGGTGGTGGTGTTGGAAGTCATTTTAGTAGTAAGATGGTGGTGGTGGCAGGTTAGGTTGGAGAAGAGATCTGGAAGGGAACAATGGTTACTTGGGCAATGCAAAAATTACCGGATGTCCGGGTGAATTCGGAGATCGCCGAATACAGGGTTCAAGAACCGGATCCCTATTCGGTATTGTTTATTTCTGATCGTGTGAATGCAATTGTTGTCATGTCATCATTACAAAACCGGCATTATTATAATTCACATTATCTGGCTGTGGTTGATTCACACATTGGAGCCAAGGTGCGATCAGCAAACATCATCATGACTTCTGACCGGACGACAGGTCAACCGGGGCCAGAAGTGTTGGATATGAGATTTCCACCCGGCCATGAACTCAATTTTCATCATTCACTTGACCCAGTGAACAGCTCTTCAAACTTTCTGGCAGTTGATCATCAGGCCAGTTGCTCAGGTATGTCTCAACTCATGTTTGCTATTCAGTCAATGAAATTTCACTAGAAGACAGTCCTTTTGACATGGGTTTTAATGCACTTCCGGTTCAACATGAGCATCCGGCCCAGATGCCTTTAGATATGGGCTTTGGCATCAATCCTGTGGATCATCTACGAGATCAGTCAGGTCAGTCTCACCATTGTCATGGTTTCCACTCTTAATTATAAATTCAGTCGATATTGAACTGGAAGACAGGCCTTTGGACATGGGCTTTGGTGTCCATCCGGTTCATGATTTTCTGGATCAGTCATGTAAGTTTTTTCATTGGTTGTTTGAACTGTTAAATGAGAATTTAGTAGACATTCAACCTGACAATGTGCACTTGGACATGGGATTTGAGACTCTCAATCCGGTACAAGTTCTGCCGGATCAGTCTTGTAGGTCATTCCATGCAATATCATATTTCTATTTGCTAACATTCCATTAAGTGGGTGAACTGGAACCCATAGGATTTGTCATTCAGCGGGCTGTAGGCGATTTGCGCTTGGTGATACATTGGTTGGAGATGGAAAGAGCTCAGAGCACAATGTCACTGGAAGAATCGCAAGTCAGCTGGGAAGTTCTTCATTCCACAAATGAGTTGTTATTGGCATTTCAACTGATTTCAATATACCGTCTGTCAACATGATATATATACGGTCAATACTCTCCACCCCTTGTATAGTACATTGAATAAAGCTCAATGATTACTCCCTTTGCATGTAATTCACTTTGTAAGACACCTTTGCAGTTCTAGTAGACCGCTTTCACTCAGGATTGTCAACTTGAGCTCCATGTCTTTTTGTCTTCGTATCGGTGACCTTTGTGGTGCAGGCAGCGGTTGGTTTGAGTGCAGGTATCTTCTGACTCATCTCCTTCCTCCAGACGGCTGATGCAGGACCGACTAAGTGACTTCCGGAGGCATTGTTTGGAGGCAGTGGGGCTGTAGTATGATTACTGGATGATTCTACTGAAGGAGTGCCAGCATTGTCCCCCAGTGGTCTGTTGCCTGTAATCACATGTGGTTTGGATTTCTTGACCAGTATGCAAGAATCTTCTACTGAATGAGACTGGACAGCTCTGCCTCGCTTTCCAGTCAATTTCAGCTTGGAAGGGGGTGATTGGACTTCATTGTCTTCATTCCTTATCCTTGTCCTCACTATTTGATTCCTGTTCCACCCTTATGGTCACCTTCCCGGATGATTTTCCAGTTGACGTTGCAGGTGGTTTTTGCAGAAGAGATTGAACAGGTCTGCCCCGTTTTCCAGTCTATTTCAGCTTGGAAGGTGGTGATTGGACTTCATGATCTTCATCTCTATCCTCATCCACACCACTTGCCTCCTGTTCCACCCTGACGGTCGGCTTCCGAGATGACTTTCCAGTTGATGTGGCAGGTGATTTTTTACCTGGAACAGATCTGACAGGTCTGCTTCGTTTTCCAGTCAATTTCAGCTTGATAGGTGGTGACTGTACCTCTTCATTGCCTTCACCCTCACCCTCACCTTCACCTTCACCTTCACCTTCATCACCATCCTCACTCTCACTACTTGACTCCTGTGCCACCCTTCCGGTCTGCTTCCTGGATGACTTTCTGGTTAATTTTGTCACCGGAACCCTAGTCTGCACTGTAGTTAGACTGCATATAGTGCTAGAGTCGCATGATGTGATTGTCTTCACCAGTTCTCTCATCTCCTTCTCATGGTCTTGCCAGCCTTTGAATTGAAATGTTGGCTGAACCTTGTCCTTTTGTCTTTGATGCCAGTGCTCTAAGAGCCGGTCGGCTTCAAGCAACTGAAGCTTCGACGGGTCCTTGATTTTCCCTCCAGATGGTAAAAACTTGATCTCGATAAAATCTTCCTGAGCGTCTCTCACTGCAGACCAAGGAACAAACACCTTTGGCTTTTGACTGCAAAACCCTGCAAAATATGTAGCTGCTTTATCAACACTCCTTATATTTGATTTGTGACACTTACTATAGTGTTTTGTGAGGAATGTCCAGATAAGAGACTTTTTGTTCTCTAGGTTAAGTGGCTTAATATCCGGTATGACCAAAAGCCCATAGGAATCCACTTCCATGGGGAATTCCTCTTTCTTTCTCCTTTGGTTCCTGCTCTCCTTTCCCTCCCCATCCACATTGCCATCCTCATCATCATTCCAATCAACTGCTGGTATTATGACATGGTGTAAGTACTTGACCGGATCAACCAATATTGCACAAAATAGAAGCTCACCGAACTCTTCTCCAACAAAGGCATTCCACTCTGGTAACATGGACTTCCAGTCCTTCGTATCTGTGAAACTATTGCCCTCCAACTTTTCATTGAAGTTGACTCTTATGACCGGGTTAGGCTATCTTTACCATTTGAGAGAATGAAAATGTCACTGACCCATTGATCCTCACTTTGCCTTCCTCAGTTTTCCATGCCGACAATATGAATATCCTCATACCGGCCTGCCTCCATAACTGAGTTGCAAGATCCTTCATCATACCAGGAGCTTTCTTCTGAGTGAACTCAGCCTGAACATCTGTAGGAGGAGTCTTGCTAGACCATGCTATCACAGTCTTATTTGCTTCCTCCAGCTGCTCTTCAGATAAACCACTCATAATTGCATTAACTGCACCCTGGTAGTGTTTTATCATTTCCTTCCCTCCTGGCCTTGCTCTGGTCTTTTCAAGGATCTCCTTCTTGTACTGGTGTTCTATCGCCAACCGGGCAGTCTATTTTTTACTGAACTTGCTCTCTTTTTTGAGTCTTTTGAGCTCTCCAGTTATATAACCAGTCTCGGTAGACCTTCATACATCATGAGCATTTATACAATTAGAGGATCAGCTGCTCACAGATTTCCTTTTCTTCAAAAGCCGGGCATCCATCTTAGGGGCTTGCATCTTGGTCTCTTTTATGACCACCCTCAGAATTGTTTTTCTATCCTTACCAGTGGCTTCCTTCCATTCTTCTAGGTGAGATTGTAACACCAGCAGCTCTTCCTCAGTCAATTTCTGCTTGGTCTTTTCAGGGCTGTATACTGATGAGTTGGATTGGGCCATTGCAAAGCAGGTGGAGTCTTGGTAGAAGAAAGGATGCAGTATTCGGTCACAGCGGATTGCCACCATTCATCCGACAGTAAACCAAACAAGAGATTGTCTGCCAGCATAATTCTCTCAGGCTCAACATGCCCTGTGTTTCCAGTTCATAGGATTTAAAACTGTAAAACACACAAACATACACCAAGTTCATCATATAGTATAAAGGCAGTATGCAGTCATACTCTCAAATATGGCATACAGTACAGGGAGACATGTTGATACTGGATGAAATCCATGGGAATTGGAATGATGGCAGGATTACGATGTGTTTGAGTAACCTACTCAGAAATGATACCACTTATGGCAATATTAGTTACTCTGACCTGAATATATTCTAAATGGAGATGATATTCCAAGATTTCTGATTAACTGATACCCCAATGACAAACAGGAACAGGAAATGTGGTAATCTGGTGATTCAAATGGTTCAGAGGCCCAAGTTGAAGGAAGGCATAGTGTGAAGTCATATGCCTGCCGATCATCAAGCTTGAGTACATTCTCCAGCCCAACAATCATTTTAGGTGGTGGTATCAATCATGGCAAATACTAAACAAAAGGGAATCACATACACTCCTCCGATGAAGAAACAATTGCCTCTGCTATATAAACTCAAGGAGAAAACTACTGCCAGAAGATCCAGGTCATCTTGAGTGAAAGATTCATGGTCCCTGAAAACTAAGTCCATGACATCATCACCAACAAAATCTCCCTCAAAGCAAACAGCTGGGATCTCTCAGATGCTCCATGAGGGTGCTGACTTTGACTTTGACCAAGATGACATCCCTCAGCCTAAATTACCAAAATCTCTAGCAAGCAGAAGTCCTTCTGATTTCTGTGGTCTGCATCTGACCGGATCATGTAGAGTCAGAATGAATATCTCCGGCAATGGAAGTGCAAGTTCAAGGACTACATAAATTTACTGATGGTCAGAGAAGCCCCTCCTCTAGACTGGCTTTGTGCAGTTTGCAAGAAGGATGGGGTTTATAAATGCCATGGCTGTTTTAACAAGACTCTGTTTTGCACTGACTGCTGCAGAACCCAGCATCAAAGGCATCCGTTCCATCGCATCAGTCAATTGTTACGACTTGGATAGTATCTGTTGACGATGCTCAAACAGAGCGTGTGCCGTCAATGGTCGAGGACGTCCTTGGGCTAGCCCAAGGTTAGTGGTCTTACTTGGCAAAGCTTCAGCAAGTAAGATTTAATGCCTATGTCCAAATCGGATAGCTTATGTCAAGTGGGGCTCGACGATAAGTGTATCTGCCAAGGCTTATGACACCTGAAGGTTAATTGTAAGATCTGTGTTAATAGAAGGACAGGTGTCCAACTAATAACAGGGGCTTTGCTCAACGACGAAGTCAATGAGTAAAGATCGAGACTAGAGACTTATCTGCAATGAGCAGATAAGAAAGTAGAATATAGACAGCTGGCTAGGCTGAAGGAATCACTCTTGTTAGAAGTAGGAAGTCAAGAACCAAGTAGATTCAAGTTAAGGAACTAGATACATGGTAGTGAGTTTTATATAGAGGAGAGGATGTGTATTAGTGGATGATAACTCATACTACCAGAAAGGGAACTGGTCAAAGGGTGATACTAAAAAGGAAGGCACATTCAAGGTGAGTCATAGGCAAACCGGAACATGCAGATAGGAAGTGAGTCAAAGAACAGAAACAGGAAGTGAAACAAGCAGGGGCATGATCGTGCAGCTGCGGAGCTAAATATAAGTACAAATGTGCGACTATGCACCAAGTCATAGATCAAGAAAGGAAACAGGGTAAAGGGGATGCATTGTGCATCGTAACATAGGTTACTGTCTGGATGGTAAGGATAAAGGGGGCTGTCCACAGGATCAGTCAATGGGTGGAATGGAGCATGGGTATGCTTCGTCAGAGACAGGTAGAGGGCAAAGGGGAATGTGAGGATGACGAGGATAACAAGAGCAAGGTCGGGGTAAGGGTGTTATGCAAGGGCAGAGACGAGGAGGATGAGGAGAAAAATGGTAGGGGTCCAAGTGTCTAGATGTTCTTGTAACATCAATGGATCGGATCATTTTTTCAAGAAACTTCACTCATTAAAGTTGGCCTGCACATTCACCTCGCTCATAACAGCCATGTCCAAGCAGCACTGAATACACATCCGACCTCTTTGATAAGTCAGATACCGATGAAAATATAGACTATGATGATTACCTGGAGGGAGCTTCCATTCCACTTATCACAAACTCAGATCATCCAGCTATGATCATAGTGGACAAATCTGGTGTTCACTCCCTATCCATATGGTATTGCCACTGCCCTGCTGCTCTTGACCGGGATATGCAGCTCTTTCAAGCAGGCCTGTTTCCAGCATCTTTCACCAGACCAAAAACTGCATTCACATTCTGTCTTGGATGATTTTCTGCTAGAAAACCTTGAATGTGGTACTTTAGCCATGAATTACTACAGTAAGATGAGGAGGCTAACCTCAAGTATATTTCCATTGATGGTTCTAGTCAGTTTTCATTTTCTGTACCAATCATCTGGTCATTAAATAACAATATTTGCAGGATCGTTATAGAGAGCTCATGAGAACTGCCAGACAGTGGCGCCAATGCAAGCTCTACAAGTGGCATGAGTTTGCTCACAAAAATGATCAGCCAAAGTCTGGTGATCTTGCCCTATTTTGTCTGGAATGTCCTCAACCGGGGGATAAATTTGCACCTGTCAACCGGTACAGGCACTGAGCCCAACAACACCCTATTCTGGCTCTTCACCAGGACTTTAGTCATGGATGGTAACTTTAAAGCTGAGTACCTCCATCCGGTGAATCCATCCGATGAAGTATCATTGATGGATGGTCTTGCATTCATGGTCGGAGATGAAAGATACAAGAGTCATCTGTCTATTGCCCAAGACCATGTCCAAAAGTCAGATTGCAACAATCACCACACAGTCAATCAAGCAAATGCCACCCGGCAAAAGCTAGATGCCACTGGGATAGGAGGATGTGCATGTGCAAGGCATGGATGTTTTGTCCCACATTCCATGGTAGATTTTCAGAAGGGTGAAAGGTGAATACACATTACATCAAGTTACATGCATTTCCAGTCTTACTGATCTCATCCACAATAATCAGGCAGATGAACATGGACTATGCCTTGAGTCAAGCACTAAACTACAATACAGATGGAATCTCCTGTGTGATAATGTTCTATGACATTAATTGTCAGTATAATAAGTTTCTCAAGGACCGGATCACATCCAGCATATGTCTTTTGATCCCCATGGGCATGAATATCATTCCCGGAATAGGTTTGTGGCATGTACATGGGCATCAGGACAGCTGCTATGTCCGGTATGCATCAAACTTTATCCACGGGACCGGAAGGATAGATGGAGAAATCATGAAAACACTCTGGGCATCTTTGAACATAATCTCTCCATCAGCCAGGGGCATGGGAACTCCGCATCACAAAGAGGTATTGGATTATCAGATGAATGATTCCAATTTCATGAAAATGATTTGCATAAGTGAGTTGCCAACCTCCAGATGCACAAATATGTTCTGGTCTCCGGCTCACTTGTCCTGCAGCGAAGTTTCTTTGCAGAAAGTTCAAGGAGGCTGCTAGGGGTGCTGAAGAGAGCAAACTCTCATTCCAAAATCTTAATGAGACAGCTCACTCTGACATGGTCCTTCTTTGGGAAGCAGAGGAGGCACTTGCTCAGGCAAACAGAATGAGGGATCCAACAGCCATGGACATTTATGAGGTCCAGTTGGAAAAGGGTAAGTGTCAAATTCAACTAATATTCATCCAGCACGGATCACATCCTGATTAATGTGCGGATGCCATTTATCTACAGCCCCAACTAGAAAGCAGCAGGAGTTGCACCTGCTGGAGGCTCAAAATTGTTGGGATCATTTAGTCACAAATTCCATCAGTCGACGAGGAGCTGCCACATGGTTGGCAACTGGTCTCACCATAGAAAAATCCCAAATCTCTCTCTCTAAAGATGTCAAAAGGCTCAGAAAGCATCCTACAGATATTCAATTGCTGAGAGTAGCCCAACTCAGGGATAAGCTCCAAACTCACATTACAAGCTTTCTCGAGATGGCACCCACTTATCTTGGATTTGGAGTTGACATTGATCACCCGGATCCTCCAGTAGACAGGGTTCATAACTCGCTCAATGATTTTTCCGATCTCAATGATTGTGATCCTAATCCGGATCTGGAACCACATCATACCTCCCTATTTCAACCAGAGCTTACTGTCATACCTTTGTCTTCCAACCTTGGAATGGATAAATGCAATGCATTGGATCTGACCAATCTCATGAAATAAGAAACTGCCCTCCGTGAAGGCCAGGCCAATGACGCACTTCATGCAATTAGAGTTCATTTGGGAGATAAAGCCGTCATATTCTGGACTACCGTCCGGTCAGCTAAGTCACAAGCATCCTCCACCAGGGTATGGACTCAAGTTCACTCGGTGGAAGCAGCAGTAAATCTCAATGCCAGAATATATTCAAAATGCCAGTCTCAACTAGCTAAACTCTCTGATCATGAGCTCCCCATGAAATATCTTCTGCTAAAGAAAGAACACCTGAAAGCAAGTGCTGCAGTTGCAGATCCAAATGCACGTGGTCAGAAGGACACCACTCTTCCATGGTTCTGGTCCATCAATGTTTAGGGTGATACATCCAGAAATGACTGGATGACAGAATGTGAGTTTCCACAACATCCGGTGATATCAGGTCATACGGTCTCACATGGTCCGAGATTAGTTTATCGGGTGAATTGGCTCTGGACAAAGGCACTGTGCAATCGCTGGAATGAAGAGCTCATTCTTGTCAAACATAAAATGCAGTGGGCTGTCAATTTCTTTAACCACAAGGCCAAGCAGTGGTGCGGTCACATGAATAATGCCACTTACACCGGGCTGACCAGACATGCATGTGATGCTGCACAACAACAACACATATATCAAGAACTGGCTGCACATGCAGCAGATTCCTTTCGAAAAATTATTCCGGTCATTCAGCCGGAAGTACCGTATGGCAGTTAGTTCATAGTACCAGTTTCCAGGTAAGCTAATATGTGATTGTTTGGATGTGCAAACAACTTCAAAAAATTACTAGGGTCATTCAGCTGGATTTACCGGTTGGATCGCTCCCAGATTAGCCAATATGTATTATTTGGATTCATGCAAACAATCCCACTAGGACTGGATGTCGGTTAGTTCATAGTACTGGTTCCCAGGTAAGCCAATATGTAATTATTTGGATGTGCAAACAACAAAAAATTCCTAGGGTGATTCAGCCAGACTTACTGGTTGCTGGTTAGTTTAGAGTACCAGTTGGATCGCTCCCAGGTTAGCTAATATGTATTTATTTGGATGTGTGCAAACAATCCTACTTTCCCATTCTCTAACAACAACATTATCCTCATTCGCTCTCCATGAACACCACCAGAACTTTGGTTGGCTCTGACCAAGTCATTGTGGCCTACTCAAATGGTGAGATCACCGCTGGAGAGATTTCTCGTGCTTTATTCTATGTCAATTGTCGCTTGTTGGCCATGTGCCTGTATGTGGACAAGAGCTTTGCCACTGCAATGCCTGGATATGCAGAAACATTCCACACCCTCATGAAATGGGAAGTGGAGGTAAGCATCCGGTTCACTGGTAGTCCGGTCATCCTCATGTTCCCTTACACTCAAATATTTTGCCTGGCATATAGACCTTTGTATCACCTTTTATCAACATATCCTTCCTTAGCAGGTGCTCCGCTGTCATCCCAAAATTGCTTCAAGATGTGCTTGCAGTGATGGTTGTACATACATTGGCAGACCGGCAACTGGATGTGAATGAGTTTCTGAAGGATATCAAGGCATTGGCTCTCTCTGTGGATTCTGCCATATCTGATGAATATGACATTGCACATATGCCAGATTACTTCAATGCCTGGTGGAAGGAAAACCTGGCCTCTTGCAGGGTGTCAGACATGTTGCCAAAGTCATGTGTCCAAGATGTGATGGAGTTGGTGAAGGGACATTTTTCAGAACTTGTGAGTCCATGATCTTTACCTCCTACACTATATCCTCACTAAATCTGACATCTAACATCATAATAGCCTGATCATGTGGAAACCGGCCAGCTTCCATATATGCTTACCCATGGCCCAGTTCTTAACCCGGAGACAATCAGATTGGCATCTCTTGAGCAGTGCTGTCAGACAACAATTGGCAGAGAGCTGTTGGAAATATTGCAGGAAAGAATGACAAACTTTTTGCACTCCAGTAATAGGTTGGCCGGATTAGTTGGGCCTGTTGATCAACTGACTAGGGCTGTGGCGTCCTCACAATCACTCATGGACCGGTTGAATGTAGCTTATGGTGCTTCCGTTCGGTCAAGCACTATTTGATGTTTAGAAGCATCCAGTAAATATATCATACCACGTATTATGTTCAACTACAATGTAAATTGGTGGCAATTTCCATATCCGGTTATGGATGGATCAAACTGGTTGCCTTTTCTTTCCTCATATATCAACCGCTCATTTATTGCCTGGACACATAACAACAATTCCACCAGACTGGGCATTATACCAGACCTACCTTGCCAGTGAATTGGTTTATGACACCTTCATGTCAAAAATTCATCAACAACTGGTAAACCAAATGAGTGTTGGATTGTTGGATATTGACACCTGTATTACTTTGGAGCAGCTTGCCAATGTCTTGGCCATGGCTTACTGCAATCCTGGTATGCATTCCCTCATATACATATCTGCTTCAGTCAAATAACTTGCCCACAGTTCATCTTAAAATTGACATGGTTAGATACAATTAATCCCTGGACAAACATGAATCCAGTCGAAACGAAAAACAAGAGCAGACTCTTTTGGACAAGTTCCCTCCTCAAGAAGAGCTTGTCTTGACAACTCTGAGTGTCATCATTGATTCCAGAGGAAGAATCATCATCTGGTATTTGCCTGATGCAATGACCAGTATAATAATGGTATGTCATCTATCCACACGTGTTTCTTGTTTTATCTCATGCAGATGTATATAACAAATTCATAGACCAATATGCATTGTGCCACAAATTCCATGGGTAATTTGTTGAACAATAGCATCACAACCAGCAAGCCTACTGCATGGAGGACACATGCTTCAAATTTCTATCCAAGTCTGAATGGAAAGATCACCCCCGGTTGCATCAATACATCACCAGCATGGTTTCAGCAAGGAAGAGAGGTATGTCTGGTTCATGTGAATTAAGCTTGCTGGTCTGAAGTATTGTAGAAACATGGTTTCCCAAATCTCAATCTGGGAGATGGCTTCTCACCTGAAGTATCAGCCTCATTGAAAGGTGATGTTGGTAGCAATATCACCACCTCCCTTCAAAGATCCAGTATCCTTGTCTCTGCTGCACTTTGGGTCATGCACCCAGATCTTTATCAGGCTGGAATCAAAACCCAAGTCAGGCTGGGCAAATGGGCGACCCGGTATCAGTTACATGACATGTGCCATCATCTAAAATGTTGGACTTCAGTGTTCAATGTGGTGTCAGTCATTTGCAACCACCGGTGACCTGCACCAAACTGGTCCGGTGCATGACCGTATGGTGTTAGTGAAGATTTTTTGGGAATTTTGCATGGAACAAATTTTGTGTTATTTGGCTCAAAGATGACTCAGCTAGATTCTCACGCATCTAAGCTTCCATGAAAAATATTTTCTGGTTTCTCTAAGATTGGGATCTATTTCATTTTGTCTGGGATCTATTTTCTTATCTCTGTTTCACTAGTCTGGGTTCTGTTTCACTCTATCTGTTTCACTCTCTCTACCCATTGAAGGCTAATAGTCTGAGTGCTCATTTATTGTTGTGTCACTAATGTGTTGTAGATTTTAGCAAATATATTCTGAGTGTTTGTTTCTTGCTGCTGATACTAACATACTTTTGATTGTACCGAATACATTCGAGCCTTATCTCTGAATCTTCGTGTTGTCTCTATGTTCACTAAAGGCTTAGAGTAGCTTAGTGGGGAGACTTTAGGAGTTGATTATTGTCCGCTTGACCTCACACATCTGAGTAGTATACTGAACCAGGATTGTTATTTGTCAGATAGGCTTTAGCTATTGAATAGGGGACTTGGTATTGAAATCCAAGGACGTCTGTTTCTGATTCTATTTAATACTCATCGTGAGTTCCTTGGCAGCAGATTCAATATTAGGCTAAGAGTTCTATGGAAGCTTTTGACAAGTCTTGACCTTTGATCCTACCTGTTTGCGCTGTGGGAGTGACCAATACAGCTTCGCACAACTGTTTCATAGTAAGTTTAGAATATAGCACCATTGATTGTGCATAGTTTTAGTTATCATTTCTGTTTAGCACCAGTGATTGTGCTTAGTCTTAGTTTTGTTTCTGTTTCTTGTTTCTTTTAGTCAACACCATACCGCTGGGTTGACTAGTGTTTCTATACTGATATCATAGAGTACCTTTGTCTGACTGTAGCTTGGATATACTGACAGACCACCCATGAACGACCACATTATCAGTCATTGGTATTTGTCTGAATCACTGACCATGGAGATATTTGATTTTGTAGGTGTTCATCTATAGATCATCTATCTAAGAAGACACCGGTCTCCACCTCATAGAGATCCAAAATGTCGACCTGAGGCATTTGATATCTGATATCATGACAACTGCAGGTATTTATTGCCCAGTGATAATGGATTTCATGAATCTTGGAGTCAAGTTTCTATATGACTCCGGGTCGATGTTGGCTTCATCATGTCACCTTGTGAGACATCACATGCATGTGGAAGAGGGCAGCTGGATTGTCACTGCATGGTACATGCGAGATAGTATCCAGTCGGAACTCCAAGGACAGACTATGCAAAATATGGTGATGTGAAATGCAGTGACCCGGTTGCGAAGAATGTTGTTTAGACAAGTGATCATATATGTAAACCCCTAGTAAATGAGTTTTATATACATATATGGGCCGGAGAAATGTATTTTGGTAAGATCATAGTTGTACCTGATACTACACTTACTGCATCATGGATTCACCTGATGCTATATGTACCAGAGCTGGATGACAGGCTTGTAAGATGATAGTTGTACCTGATAATACACTTCCCTGATCATAGATTTATCAGATGCTGGATGTACCGGATGCTGGATGTACCGGATGCTGGATGTACCGGATGCTGGGTGATAGGCTAAGATCATAGTTGTACCATATACTACATGTACCGGATCATAGATTCACAGATGTACCTGATACTGACCTTGTATTTCTGGCACATCCATTTGCCCTTGTGACACCCATTCTTCCAGCTCATTTGTCCCCAATATACACTGGATTCACCATTTATAATGACCTATATACTAGTACTTCCAGCTTCCTCGGCTTAGGGTTGGTTGGTGAGTGCTAGGCATGCTTTCAATGGACAGTTTGTCATATAATTATACAGTTGACTTGCATAACCTAAGTGTGAACACTTGTAAGGCCAGTCTAATACCATGGTAGATAGTATGAGATGATTTAAGGATGAAGTGCAAAGACAAATAGTAGGTCTTCTCATTGCCACTCTATGAGACTGCAACTCAACCTGACTAGCACCCAACTGCGGATATTGACAACTGGCAAGATGTTGAGCAAACTGACACAGCACCCTCATTTACTTGTGTTGACTGGTGGCAAAATGCCGGTCCAGAACAACATAAAAGGATGTTTTCAGTTTTTGATGAATCCAGGATATTTATTGCTGCATGTCGACACCAGTTTATCCTTCTCGCTTGTGATATGGTTAAGGGTGGTGAACTGTAAGTTATTTTTATTCTCCATTCAAATCATATTTAATCATTGTTAGGGTAAAATATCCCCTTGTGATTGTTGATCAATTGCTTACAGTTTACGGCAAAAATGGAGGCTGTGCATATGACATTGGTTGTGTGTTTGCCAAGATGCTTGAGAACAGTACTTTGGGACCATGAGCTTCTGCCCTCAACTTCTAGATAATGGTAGGAGTGTTTCATGGCCATGCACATAATTGAAGATGTCAGATAGATTGGCATCCTATGTACATCAAAGGCACGGGACACATGGAAGGTGAAGGGTGTGAACACATTTTTTCTTTGTCAAATGAGCTTGCATGAAGTACTCGGCATGCTACAACCTTTCATCAACATCAATCAATCGAGCAATATTTTGCATTTTGGGATGAGGATAAGTATGCAGCCTTAAGTAAGTTTTTATTAATATCTACTCAATGACCAAACACAATATCCCTGCCCAGGTGTTTTTATACAGAATCATTATCACAAAGCCCAGGAAGACATCCGAACTCTCACAGCAGAGCTCTCAGTCATTTGGGAAACTCTCAATCTCACTGATACTGACTTCATTTGCTTTCATGCACAAGAGCATGAATATCTTGATGGTTTAAAACAGATACCAGTCAAGGATCTTCTCAGTATCTGGTACGTCAATGTGCTTGATGAGCTTGCTGAGTGCCAGTGAGTTTTGATAACATTTCATGCTAATTACTTTATTCATTACGTTTGACCAAGGTTGGAATGGAATCAAGCCTAATGTAAAGAGTAAATCTCCGCTGGGCTCAGCAGAAACTGTACTACCTAGTCAACAATATTTAGGTAGATCTTAGCACGACCTATACTGCTATACTTGCAGAGCAAGTGCATTTGATCCTAAAGGGATTGCTAATTGGTATTAGTAAAATGTGTCAGTAATGCAAATAACAAAATGTCTGATGCTGCGAAACAATGTCCAAAGGTACTTATCCAATGTCTGAAGCCAAAGTGGGATGTCCGAGATTTCGGACTTTCGGACTTCATGATAATAGGTTGGAAACTTTATAACGAGTGTTGGATTGTGAGCGGTATGTGCAAGTATAATGAGTGACGGAGTATGACAGTGAATGAATGGTAATATTTTGCAATGCAACTAAGAACTACGAGAATATTCTGGGTGATCTGCAGAGTCGGGAAATAGCTCCTAACTACTGGATGATAATTGCTATGGGTCACTACAGAATATTTAAGTAAGTATGTAGAAATTCAGAATACTACAGGCGAAGATAGTAGTGATATATTTTGGGTCTGATGTCCTATGTAATAAGACACAAGGTGCTGCGGACATGTAATAACGCGGTCCAAATGTTAGAAAATGTGCACAGGAATAACTACGCACCTAGTGAGGCTAGTTTGGATAGACAGGACACGGGATGGACAAGTGCGCGCAAAGTGCGATCGGCCGATGCAATGTCCGAAAGTCTGATGTGCTGGATCTGATGTAGAGTGGCTCGGACATGTGCGAAAGTGCGTTGGACATGTGCACATATGTTTCGGGTGTTGACGTGAATATGAAAAACCATGGTTCCAAGCCTAGCACCGCAACTATTATTACACCAAGAAGCAGCCAATTGCTCACTGGTTAAAATTCATGTTGGCAGCATAAGTGATGTGCACCTCGCTTTAAACCAAGCTTGGGTCCATGTCGATACAGCATATTTCAAAACTACAGAACACGGAACAGTTAGCTGGACATTTGGAGGTTCAACTTGGAATCAACAAATGCTGGGAAATTGGAGGCAAATGTTATAATCGGTTTTGAGAAGAAGCCTTACTTCTGAAGTATCGTTCAGTGCTCAATGAACTTGAGCACCTTGTAGTCATGCATCTATTTGAACTGTCCAAACTTTCATTATCAGGAACAGGTAAGTATGTTGTCTTTGACGTATTTTAGAATTTAATTGCAGTGTGTTCAGGTTACAAGTTATGTCAACAGATCAGCAAAGTGCTTCAATGACATTCAGATGCTATTTGGAACACTATCAAATGTTACAACACTCAGGCTGCCGCTTTGGTCCCACCTAGGCCAAAACTAGCATGGAAAGACATTGTCGAGTATAGCTTCCTAGGCGAATTTGACCTATTGTGTCACTCACATACTGACATTCGAGATGCTGACTGGACTACACCTGTTCATCACGAGGCCACAGTGAAATACTTCAAGCTTCAATGCGCTCGGGAAGAAGTACAGCATCTCAATATTGAAGTCGGATGTCTACGCACAGCAATACATGACAAAGAAATCAAGACCAATGCAACTATAGACCAACTTGTTGTCACAAATCCCCCACTTGCTGTAGAGTTGAGAAGACGGTGGCAGACTCATGCTACCATCAATGCTGTCCATCTCTACTGGTTAAATCAAGTTGAGTTGCAACCTGCATTTTCAGGCAGGCATGGTATTGGTATCCAAGTTGCAAGTCCATCAGTGTCAGTAACTGTTTTATCTCCAAATGCTGGTGCATGCAGACTTTGTTGTTCTACCTGCTAGTATGATCTATGACAAATAATGTAGTATATCTAGATACATGAGAAAACAACAATTGAATATACATAGGTACATGAGAATAAATTAGCATAGCCACGTAGAGTTGTCTATATAAGGACCTCCATTTTGGCCTGAAAATGCAATCAATCAGACTCCTCAGAATCACCTTAATAAAATTGCAAGTGAGGCTTGTGTGATCAGCATCAGCAACAACAGCGAAGAGCTGTTCAAGGTTGTCAGGTACATTGATGAGACAGTAGAAGCCATTGAGCTCACTGTGCTCAACAACCAGCAAGGCCTGGTTGATTTTCTTTTATTTGTTTTGAGAAGTCTCTTGTTTTTCTGAGTGTTTGTGTGTGTGTGCATGTCTCTGTCTCTAGCTCTCTATCTGTTTCTCTAGGATTGGAATCTATTTCTTTTTAGTCTAAGATCTATTTCCTTATCTCTGTTTCTCTAGGCTTGGGTTCTATTTCACTCTAGTCTGGGATCTATTTTCTTCTATCTCTGTTTCACTAGTCTGGGTTCTATTTCTCACTATCTGTTTCTTTAGTCTGAGATCTATTTCTCTTATATCTGCTTCTCTAGTTTGGGATCTGTTTCACTCTATCTGTTTCACTCTCTCTATCCATTGAAGGCTAACAGTCTGAGCACTTGTTTATTGTTGTATCACTAACGTGTTATAGATTCTAGTGAATATACTCTGAGCATTTGTTTCTTGCTGCTGTTACTAACATGTTCTAGATTTTAGCAAATACATTTAAGCCTTATCTCTGATTCTTTGTGTTGTCTCTATGTCTTCTAAAGGCTCAGAGTAGCTTAGTGGGGAGACTTCAGAAGTTGATTATTGTTTACTTGACCTCATACATCTGAGTAGTATACTGAGCCAGAATTTTTATTTGTTAGATAGGCTTTAGCTATTGAATAGAGGACTTGGTATTGAAATCCAAGGACATTTGTTTCTAATTCTGTTTAATACTCATTGTGAGTTCCTTGGCAGCAGATTTAACATTAGGCTAAGAGTTCTACAGAAGCTTTTGACAAGTCTTGACCTTTGGTCCTACCTTTTTGCGCTGTGGGAGTGAATGAAAGTGAGACACAAATACAGAAGATAGATATTTATGAGTGAGATGGATGTTAGTAATGATACTTTAATAAGACTTTTGGTTGTGCTTGAAGCAGGAAATCAGAGTACATGTACTGTATATATGCAGAAAACAGTAAGGGTCCTCGGTTGTAGGTTTGATGAATAATTAGATGAAATAGAGGCAGAAAGTAAGTGGCATTAAGCCTGATAGAGTGGGCCAGTGCAGGTAAAAAGAGCATACAATATACTGAATGAGTGATAGTATAAACAAGTTCAGTTTTGGTAGAATGACAAGAGTTTCATAGTGGTTTTGACAGATTTTAGAAGGGACAAACTGATAATAAAATAGTAGTGATAAAAAGAAGAGAAATGAGGGTTAGTGTTACGACTGGAATAGTTCTTCTGTTAAAGGTCAAAGATAGACCAGTCTAGTTGACAGCATGTTCTGAACTCCTAGTACAAGGAAGGTTCTGGTTTAAGGGTTCTAAGCATGATGGCTTCTATCTAGGTTCTGAGGCAAGTGCTCAACGGCGACTTCTACCTATAGTTTTAAGTGAGTGGTTTTAGCGCTTCTACCTATCAAGGGTTCAAACTAAGATAGCGAGTGACTGTCTTAGAGATCAAGTATCAAACTATAAGGGTGGAGACCTTATAGAACAGGATTCAAGGGGAAAACCCAGTAGATTAAGTTAAGGAATACTACTGATGTACATGGGGTTTATATAGGTAAAAGGAAGCAGCACAGCTATGTCAAGAAAGGTAATAGAGATGGGGAAATAGTACAACCTATCAAGATAGCAAAGATAGGTGAAACAATCATGCTGCACATGATAGTAGTTAAGTTACAATCAAAAAGAAGAGAAGTGTAGACAGCCCGCTTGATAAGAGAATAGCCAAGTCTAGATGAGTCTAGAGTTAGCGCTAGGGTTACAGAAAGAGAAAAATAAGTGAGAGTTAAATGTTATTGTGACAGTTGGTATCAATAAAGGGTATGTTGTAAAAAGGGACTAAGGCCATGCTGGCTGTTGACAGTAGTGAGATAATGAGGGACAATAAAAAAGAAAATGTATCTGTGTGACTTGGATGTGAAGTGTAATGCTTCTTCACATCAATGAGTCATGTGTATCTCAGTGCAAGGTCTATGCATTTTGTTTTGAAGACATGGTTGGGGTGTATAGGATATCAGATCCTTACAACGAGAAGCCTTTATTGTCATTGTGTTTATTGATGATCAAGAAACATTATTAAGAGTGACCAAAATAGTGCAAAGAATGGCAATAGATATTATATAAGCTGATTGGAGGATAGTGAGGAATACATCGCTGATGAGAAATGAGGTTTGATCAGTGATGCATCCAGCACATATATTGATACTCTTATTGACATTGGTATAGTCATGTAAATGCTTGAGTTGGTTGAATAATTTGGTCATGAACTCCTTGTTAATCATGAGCCAGAAAATAGTTTGTTTTTGTGTATCCAATTATCTTTGTAGAGTAGGTAGTTGTTGACATGAATACCAGGCCCTTGAATGAGAGCAGGGATAGAAGGATCTGTCAAAATGGGGCGGGATGAAGTGTCAGGCTTGGCTGAGATATATTCTGTGGCAAGAGCTTCTTCAAGAGTCAACATAGATTCTTCATTATCCTCTTCAGTGCCCATATAGACCCATTAGATCTCAGCAGCCTCGGAATCAGGTATCATAGTCTCTAAGACCTATAGGGGCATAGACACAGGTACATCAGACAGGGAATTGGACACATGGTTAGAGTCCTTGAGATCTTCTTCTACAATGCCAAAATACTTATTCATACCTAAAGGACATAGTATGTCTATTCCTGGATCACAGAACAGTTCAGCAAATGAATGATTAATGAGATTGATCTAGAAAGAGGTAAAAATAGAAAGAGCAATTTCATGCTCTTGTTGTCATGCTGATGGAAAGTTACAGTGACTGCAAATGATGTCACCCCTCCACATTTGCCAATTAATCAGTGAATTTAATTAATGACTTCATGTGCTTGACCTTGAGTTTATTGTAAAGTTTATATTTCAATATGAGTGATAATCTTTTGACTGTTACTTGCTACTGGTAGGGTGATCAGCCATCGCAGGCTGACAACAATGAGCAATACATCACACATGAGCCTCCTGGTCCTCACTTGGACTTTGGTTTCACTTATGGCCCTTGCAAAGTAATTATGGGCCAGCTACTGAGATGTAGCACCAATCATGGTTCCCGTCACTGTAGGGCCTTAATTATCAGCTAGCCACAGCTGATCAGGTTTAATTGTACTGGCAGTCATTGCCTCCAGGCAAAGCCTGCCTCAGCCTGTTATTTCCCACCCCATACCCCAGCATTTATACTATCATTCAAGTTCACAGTACTTTTTTGCTACCTGGCAGCCTCCCCCTAGCCCAACTGCCCATACAAGCTTGTCCCTCCTTGCGCTGACTTATCAGACTGACCAGAATGGTAAGTCTTAGTCTGAGGCTCCAGCTCCATTTGTGAACTTACCTGCATTTGACAACTCATCATCCTATCCAAATCTCTCTGGTCCTTCTCACTCATCCTATCAGATTTTCAATGATATTTCCCAACACACAGCCCTTGCTGCACCCTACTGCTGTCATCAAGTTCCCAAAAAGCAAGTATTCACCTGGAGCACTAAATGCACTAAGACACAAACATGCTCGTCTATGTCTATACAATTCACATTCATCCCATACAGCACTCAAGCGATATTGGATCGGTGCATCCAGGAAATGAAGCTGACCACATTCAGGATGTCGTTGTTACCTACCAACATTGGTGCAGATAGCATGGTGGATGCTTTGTGTAGGGCTGTAGTGAATCAACAAACTGATAGTATGTCTTTTCCAAAACTTCAAGTAGGCAATATGTGGACTGACTTGGATTGGGAACAGAGACACTCTGGCATTGGGTGTTGGATAAGCTAAATAATGATGGAGGATATCTGAGAACAAGACTTGAGCCTGTGCTCATGACGATATCTGGCAGTATGGCCGCAGTGATCAAAACCTTAAATGGGCAATATGTTGACGGTCACAAACAAGAGAATATTGTCAACTAATGACAGAAAAAATTTCTACCTGCATGGTATGCACTGGAATCAAAAATGTGAAAATGGTTATCTGTGGATCCTGCGAAGCTTGATGAGGGACAGTCGATATCAGAAAGACGTACTGTGGTATGGTTCTATGACAAGTCCACATTCTATGCACATGACCATTGCCAAAAGCAATGGGTACATAAAGATGAAAAAAGCACACCACAGCCTAAAGGACAGGGAGTGTCTCTCATGGCAGTAGACTTTGTATCTGCAGATTATGGCTGGTTACGATCGCGCGATGGAACACAATTGGCATGCATCCTCTTCTGTGCAGGAAAAGCGAGGATCGGGTATTTTACCAATAAGGAAATCATTTGGCATGCTGAAAAAGCAATGATGATCTTGGAAAAAGATTATCAGGATGATGACCATGTCTTTGTTTTTGATAATGCCTCGACTCACCAGAAAAGAGCTGATAGCGCAATATCTGCTTATCAGATGCTGAAAGGTTGCAGACACTGGGGGGTTGACGCACCAGTACAGGATGCACAAGGAAAATTGATCTGTGGCCCTAATTGTTATACATGGCGTAATATTGAACTTGGATAGGTCTACTCTCTTATCTCCAATAAAGGAGAAATCAAGAAAAGAGAGTGTTCTGCAGTCTAGTACAAGACTGGCTCCCACAGTCAACCAGCAGAGCCCCTTCCTGTCAAAGAAGTAGGTTGGCAGTCAACTGTCTAGAAGACTGTTCATGCTGCGCATGTTGATAGTAGTCAAGCAACAATCAAGATAATCAGAAATAAGAGAAGTGCGGACAGCCCGCTTGATAAGAGATCTGGCCGAGTCTAGAGGTGGCCATCAGATAAGAGAATCTAGCCAGGTCTAGAAGAGTCTAGGGATGGCGGCAAGGTAACTGGTCTAGAGATATTCTAGAAGCAGCAATTATGATTCCAAGAAAGAGAAATAAGTAGGGTTATAAATGTTATTGTAACACTGATGGGAAGCTGATGAAGCAGAGAAAGTCCGCATGGCCGATGGTTTCCATGATGGAGCACCCCAGGAATTTTATTGGCCAAAGGGGCACAAGAAGTCAGGCCTGTTCAAAGGCATGGCAACCATTTTGACAGAACATGGTTTTGATGTGACAAAGTTGAAGGCCCAGTGTAAAAACTTTGAGTGTGCAGCTGGAGCAACAGATTGCTGCTGCCATCATATTCTCTATTGTCAGCCTGATTTCGCAAATGTCGAGTCATTCTTGGAGACCACTTGCAAGGCTAGGGGTTTTCAGGTCATTTTTCTTCTGAAGTTCCATTGCAAGTTGAACTTTATCAAGCAGTGCTGGAGTTTTGCGAAGCAGATTTATCACACCTACCCCATGTCAATGAAGGATAGTGACCTAGAGATTAATGTGGTTAATGCGCTGGATTCTGTCCCTATCACCAGCATGCAGAGGTAAGCTAATCATGGTGAAGATGAGGAATCTAAACTGTGGGGAAAGTTGGTGCTAAGCTAAGCAAACACAGATAGACCCAGGCGCAAGTGAAATCGTCATCCCAAGGGCAGCTAACTGAGTAAAGGAAACCTCTCTTTGTAAAAAGAGGGACACCAAACAACTAATGAAGTACTAAGTCTAAGTAACACGCGAAGCAGAAACGATGCGATGTACGAAAGGCGGACGCGCGAGTGTGAAAGGCGAAGGTCGAGGTGCACGACGTGAAGATAGTGTGCGCGAGCGAAGGCGAGAGACAAGCAAGCAAGAGAAGCAAGAGAAAGACAAGACAAGACTAGTGTTAGCACCCCAACTATGGTTGGCTGATGCTAAGACCGAGACCGAGAACCGAAGCGCGCAACTTTAGATAGTCACTTGCAATCAACGAGTAAAATTCTTAGTATCTAGAGACATACAGAAAGTGGGTGGAAAATTGACTCAGAAAATAAAGTAAAGAGATAGTATAAGTAAAGTAGCTAAGCGGCACTAGGCACACAGGTCCGATGTAGTGAGCCAAGCAAGCTAAATATAGTACACGAGATAGGTAATAGGGTCTTGGCTGTGCACGTAGCGCTAGGCCGAGAATTAGCAATGGAAACAATTAGTTAAAATGGAAATATAGTGAGAAAACGCACCAATGGACATCTAAGGACATGGGGAGGACAGGTGGACGGGTATGCGGACGATGCTGACACGGATGTGTGGTGCGCATGAAGTGCAAGTGGCTGCATGTGGAATCTGCAAAGTAAAATATATGAAGCGCTACTGCGCAAGACATATCCTTGGGATTAGAGCTGGAGTGTGTGTTACGACTTGGATAGTATCTGTTGGCGATGCTGTAACGATAGTCGCAGCGCTGGGCTCAAAACCCGTGTTTTTGATACTCATGTTAAACAGTATTCATCCAACGCATCCCCGACATTCCGATCCCGATCCTGATGCCCGACCCCAACCTGAAAGTTTCGGACCTGACATTTTTGCATCAGACTCGTCCTCCCTATGTCCTGTCCAGTTGTATCTACCCCCACTGGTGCGTATTTACTTGTTTCACATCACTGAACATTACAGACAGTGTTATTACATGTTATCTACAAAAGGTGCAGTACACATGCTCTTTTACATACATTCGGACCCGATTTTGCACTACTGTTTTCGCCTAATGCACTCCGAAATCCTACATAGACACTATTTAATATCTAGTACTTCCTACCTATTGCATTACTTACTTTTCCCTACTCAGTAGTAGGATGGAAGTCATTGGATATTAGTAGTACTTAATTGTATTGCAAAATATCTATCCGCTCTTTTTCTCCAAAACATTCCGACACATCCAACACTCATTTGACCAACATTCCAACATACTTCCAACACATTCCTTCACCGTCCGACACATTCCTGACAGTCCAATGCATAGTCCGATGCCCAACCTGACTCCAATATTTTCGGACCCGACAGTTTCCCTTTGGACAAGCAGTTCTTAGCTTCGGATTATCTTCCTATTACTGATAACTAACTATCAAAACTAATACCAAACAGCTACCCCTATAGGATCGAACACACTTGCTCTGCAAGTATAGCAGACTAGGCCGTGCTAAGATCTACCTAAATATTTGTTGTCTCGGTAGTACGATTTCTGTTGAGCCCAGCAGAAATCAGCTTTCTACAACGCTCAAACAGAGCGTGTGTCGTCAATGGTCGAGGACGTCCTTGGGCTAGCCCAAGGTTAGGGGTCTTACTTGGCGAGGCTTCGGCAAGTAAGATTTAACGCCTATGTCCAAATCAGGTAGCTTATGTCAAGCGGGGGCTTGACAATAAGTGTATCTGCCAAGGCTTACGACACCCGAAGGTTAATCGTAAGATCTGCGTTAATTAGAAGGACGGAAGTCCGACTAGTTAACAGGGGCTTTGCTCGTCGACGAAGTCAATGAGTAAAGATCGAGACTAGAGACTTATCCACGATGAGCAGATAAGAAAGTAGAATATAGACTGCTGGCTAGGCAGAAAGGATCACTCTTGTTAGGAGTAGGAGGTCAAGAACCAAGTAGATTCAAGTTAAGGAATAAGATATGACGAGGATAACAAGAGCAAGGTCAGGGTAAGGGTGTGATGCAAGGGCGGAGACGAGGAGGATAAGGAGAAAAATAGCAGGGGCCCAGGCATCTAGATGTTCTTGTAACATTACCCCAGTTTCTAGGACTGAAATCAACGAGTTCAGTTATCCATATTGTCATACCAGGATGGGTCGTAGTCAAGATCACGGAGTGCTTCGATAGCCTCCATGGTGTTCTCTTCTCTGTCTTGTTCGAGGCATGCAGCATCATGGTCATAGGCTGCCTCCAGCTGACACATGTCGGTGTAAAATGTTTCTGAGGACACTCCTCGTCGAAGGATCTTCTTGCCACAAAGACGGGGGCAGAAGGGGGTAAGATGTCCAGGGGCAAACTGACCACAAATGCGGCAGAAGTACCACTCGCATTGCTGTTGTTTGTGGCCGTACTGAGAGCAGACCCTGCATTTAAAATTGCATTGGTACGGTTGGGGGGTCGCTCTAATGTGGGTGTCGTTGAGTATCTGTTGCCTAGTGAGGTCTTGGCCCGGTACATGTTTGATGATGGGGAGACCCAGGGCAAGGATGCACTGGGTGTTCAATCATCAGCTTCATCTGGGAGATTGTTTTGGTGGAGGAATGGGGATGGGGGTGTCACTCCTCATAGCGGGTGATCTGATAGACAGTGAGGGTATGTCTTCAGTGGAGGTGAAATCGGGAGGGGGTGTGGTGAGATGAGCTTCCAAGCTCGGTTTGTTTTCTTTGTTCGTCTTCCTCCAAGGGAATGTGCGAGTTTCCTTACTCGACTTTTCTTCTTTGTGTTTCTTCTTCCCTTTGTAGGGAGTAGGCAACAGATTGTTGGCTACTACTTCATCGTTAATGATGGCAGCTCGGAGTTCCTCGAGCTCGTCGCTGGACATCATCCTGTACTGTTCTTCTTCGTGTTCAGCGAACATTCTGTCAATTTCTTCTGATGTTAGATTTGTGGGAATGAGGTTGGGTTTCTCAGAGTGGGAGGTTGGAGCACTGCACTTGGCAGTACGCTCAACAACAGATGCCTGTACAGGCGGTTGGTTGTATGCAATTTCTTCTTCTATCTTGGTGACTGTGTCGCCAAAGTTTCTTGATGCTAGAAGGTTCAAGAGGGACCTCTTGGCCTTCATGACAGAGTATCGGGTGATCGGGTGAGGGGAACAGGGACCAGGTGGTCCGGCTGTGAAAGTGATAGTGTCAATTGCCCAAAAGGCATTGACAAGCTCCAGGAGAACCGTGTCCTTGGTACGGTCAATAAAACTGTCGAGTCTAAGCGCGTACTGCGCATCGAGAATAACAGCCTCCCAGAATGCCTTCTGAGAGTCCAGGGTCTGCGTGAAAGAAACGGTGGACTCATGAATGAGTTCGATGATAGATGCTATGGAACCGAGGGAGAGGGAGGAGGTATTGGACGAAGAGGTAGATATGCGGATGGTGGTAGCTGGTTAACAACTGAGGAGTTTTGTCATCAGCTTGAGTCTCCTCTTATAGTCTTTGAGCAGCTCCGCTGCGGACTTCAGTTCTTTCTCTGGGAGCCACATTCGTTCAGAGGGTGGGTAGCCAACCCAGGAGACCAGGTATCGGTGTTTCGTTCCGGTACCCCTGTGTTGGAGGATTGCTTCTATTTTGTAATGTTCTTCCCTGTCGATCAGGTCCAGTGGCGGTTCTGTATAGTTCGGGCCATGCACGTCCGTTTCTTGATAGGAGGATAATTCTGATGCATGGAACGTGGGATGAACTCGCCAGGTGGCAGGGAGTTCGAGGGTGAATGTGATAGGGGAAAGGACCTGTTTAACGGTAAAGGGTCCGTATCGTTTCAGTGCAAGTTTCTTTGAAGGGAAGTGAGTGATCAAATGCGCAGCAGATAGCCACACCTTGTCCCCAACCTTCCAAGGTTGGTACTTTCACCTGAACATGTGTTCTGCCATGCGCTGCTGCGCAAGGTTGTGGCATGCGAGGGCTTCTTCACGGATCTTTGCGAGTTTCTTGACTCGGTCCTCTGCTGCTGGCAGAGCTGAATCGGGGAAGGCGTAAGGGATGCCTTTGGGCCCATAGCCCATCATGAGGTAGAATGGGGATGTGTTCCAAGCAGAGTGTCATCTGGAATTGTGGACAAATTTGGCCATGGGAAGGTGTTTGGCCCAATCGTTAGGAGTTGTTCTGCAATAGATCCAGAGGTACATCTCCAGCTCCTGGTTCATTCATTCTGTTTGCCCATCTGTCTGGGGATGATAGGTGGTGGAGAGCACTACCTGGTAGTCCAGGAGCCGTCCGAGTTCCTTTGCTAGCTTTGAGGCGAATTGTGGACCTCGATCGGAGATGATCTTGTCATATAATTCAAATCGCATAAACACCTTTTTGTAAAATAATTCAGCAATGCCTTCTGCAGTGATGGTTTTCTTGCAAGGCGAGAAAATTACCCCCTTCATAAGCCCATGGTCGACCACAACCATAATGGAGTCATAGCCGGTGCTCTCCGGGAGGTCAGTGATAAGATCAACTGAAACCTGGGAGAAAGGCCAAGTACAGGTGGAGGGAATAGGCATAAGAGGTGTAGTCGGATGGGTGTCGGATTTCATCTGCTGGCACATAGTGCAGCCATCAATGTATTGTCGTATAAAGGTGCCCATGCCAGGCCACCAATAGCTTTTCTTAATGTTCCATTCAGTGTTGGAACATCCGGAGTGCCCAGCAGTCAGGTGATCATGATGGAGCTCCAGAATGCGCTTCCAGAGGTCAGGGGGGACGTAGGCACGGTCCTTAAAATAAAGGATACTGTTGTCAATGCGCCAGTCTGACAAGGCAGACTTCATGGGGGGGGGCGCAGAGGCTGTTTAGGGCATCAGCTGCTGTCTGTATGGTGAGATCAGCAGGGTTATCATTTGCT